CTGTACAACTGGCCCTAATAAATAGTTAAAACTGAAAATAAATTAGGATTAGTAATTACCAATTGTTGAAGCATCGTTGACTTTTAATGTGGCAATAATATGGCCATTTTGTTCAATCTCTATGGTAATTAAACGGTGAGTTTCATTTGACGTTGACGTAGTCATACCGCTGAAATCGTCTGCAATCATTACGCTTGGACGTATACGGGTTCTTTCAGAAGGCAAGTGTTGAGTGTGTTGTGGCGTGACATGCTGGACAGCGGCCTAAAAAAATAACAGATAGAGTGGATTTGGCAAAGCCATTACAAATACCATGGTTCAGTTGGTAAACTCGAGTACTTACCAGTAAGTCCCAATTGAAATTCGACAAGTGCATCAAAGCTTCGGCTGCATTGTCGATACCAGTGATGGCCTGTACTACAACAAGACAACAACGTTAGCAGGAGGTCGGTGGGTGTCTTTGTTCCCTACGTTCGGGCAATACATTACCTGAAAATCGGCTACAATGCCGTTTCTGTCGTCCATGTTGCAACGAGACGATAAAAGTTGCGTCGATAAAACGAAAAAACCACTAGCTGTATCAATCAGACACGACGGATATCACTATGTCTGGTAACGCTAGCGACGGGGCCCGTGTCGCTGGACGAAAGTTTACTCGCGGGTACAAAATCGGTCACGGGCGACGTAGCGATCAACGCCCGACGGACAAAACTGGGACGTTTATATCACTCGTGCGACTAACGATATGGAACAGTGTGACGTGCCGCGAATTGTAGTCTACACTCAACGACGAACGCGGACCACTGCTGCGACTAAACTATTATTATTATTTAAGTTTAAAATTATTACACTTCCAGCGAACACGGCAGTAGCATCGACGTTCGACAGAGAATAGAGATTACTAGACTAGAGCTGTGGCGCACAGACGCAGACGCACAGTGCATACACTACACACAACGGGAACGTCGGGAACACGGACTAAGATGTACAGGACTGGTAACTAAAACATTATCAGTGATCCCCAAATGTTTCCAAAGGTACAAGTGTAGTACCTAGCGCCATCTATTTTAGAAATTACACATTAATCATAATATTCATTGTACAATGTACACCGGCAAACTTTTTGCAAAATTACTAAATTTGATGTTTTCTTTAAAATTAACATAAATTATTTTGATAACTAAGAGTATATTTATTTGATGCTTACTACTTAGTACAAATTACTGAAGCAATTTAAAGTTTGAAAAATGTTGATATTTCATAACATAAATGGTCTTATGTAGGTAGAGATCATAGACATGTTAATAATTAATATGCATATGGTAGAGATGAAACTATTAGAATTAATAAGGTATTTGTGTGATATTCAATGCAGTGTACTTAAAATTTAAGGTTTTTTATGACTTAAATTAATAATATCTATTATCTAACTACTGCCTTGACTAAATACTGTAAGACCATACTTTTATCGATTGGTATTATTACCGGATATAACACCTTCCAAAAATATTACTTTATTAAAACAAACTTTATTTTTAAAATATATACATATTACATAGATATTAGATAAATATATTAATTATAAAAAAAACCAACAGTATATATTTTATGAAAAAAAAGAATATTAGCGAATTGTAATAAAATTAAATTTAACAAATTAGCAATATAATAAATTATAGATAAACATTACCTAACTTAGCTTATTTTATTAAAATAATAGAAAAGAAATAAAATTGTAGAATGTGTATTTCAGTATTTTTGTTTACCCATTAATAGGTATTACAACATTTAAATATTATAAACATTAAGTGCTAACCAATTTAGCAAATTTTTTTTTTTTGCATTCATTTTGAGTTTATTTTTATTACTAATTAGGGAATACTGTCTCATCCTCATAATTATAAAATTTGAAACTATGTGTGACAGGACTTCTTTCTTGTGTATTTTACAAGGAAAATCAATAGACTTATTATTATTGAAAAAGTCATCAATTGTTAATAAAAAAACATTATTATTTTCGCAATGTTTTGCAAATGAATTTTCGACTGCCGTCAACAATCTAAAAATGAATTCATTTGGATAAGTCAAACCTCCCCGTGATTTTAAATTGAGAAATGTAGCTTCAGGTTTATCGGAGTACGTTCTTTTACCTGAAAATAAATTGTTATTGTCAAAATGCTATTTAAATTTAGTTTATTGTAATTTGTTTATAGGAAAGATGTATTTTTGTATAAGTACTTACCAGTTATTACAGTAAGGCAGTCTTTACATTTTATTTGCTTGGTGAGATTTTTGGTGATATAGCCACAAATATAATATAACACACAGTCTTCAACATTTGCCTTGTAATAATTATTCATATTACCATCAAATATATCATCTACATCTACATCATTTATTATTAAGGAGTCAAGTTTTTTTTTTAAGGTTTCAATTTTTTCAATTCTTTCTGAAACATTCTCAATATTTATAGTAGACTTAAAATCATTAATTGTAATTGTTTGTTGTGTATTTTGCTCTAAAACTTTACAATTTCCAGTTTTTGGTGGTTTTAATAAAGAATAGATAGATAACATTTTATACACTTGGAGAAATGTAGGTGTACTAGGGTGCTCTTTAGGTCCAGAAGCCTGTCTAGTCATACCGAAAAATTGCTATAAACAAATACAATTTAATATCTACATTATAAACATTATATGTAATATGTATAGTACTATAGTAGATACCTCTTAGCTTAATTATATATTTACCTCTACACGATCTTGATTCGTTTTGCAGGTTAGAACATATTTGAATCCACATTTATCTAAAAGATATTTTGTCAGTTCTAATGTTGATTTAATGGTAACACATAATCCATCAGCAGTGTTTTGAGTCAAGTATTCATTTTTTGTTATTTTTTTTAGTTTCTACTTGTTCTTCCCAACGGTTTAACCAAACTAGATTATCTTCTAACACCTGGTTCAAAAAATCAAATAAATCATAGTGAAATAATAATATATTTTAATTACAGCCAAATGTACCTGAAAATCAAGACTATTTTTTTTTATTCCTTTTCCAGGGTGCTTTCTATTAAGTACATCAAAAAGTTTATTGAAACAATCAGTAAAAATTTGTGTTTCATTACTATTTTTTAAAGATTCAATTCCAACACACTCTCTGTAGAATTCTATGTCCTTGGCCTTGTTTTATAAAATATATTGTTTCTAAAATTATAAATACAATGTAGTTTTTATTTCTAAACTATAATTTTTTATTCTTAAATATGTGACAAAGTGTTTGCCTACGATGACGGATTACTCTATGAAGCTAAGTGCACAAAACGACGAGTGACGGATGAAGGTAATCTTCAATACTATATACACTATATAAGTTTCATAGCAAAATGGGATGAGTGGACTGATCAGGATGAAGTGTTCGAAATAAATGAAATTAATATTGGCCATAAGGAAAGACTAGGTAACATTTGCGCGTAACATCCTTTGATGCGACTCAATTTACCGACAACTGGTGGAACGGTGTTACGGCGTTACGGCGTAACAGAAAATGTTACAAGTGTGTACGCGGCTTTATAGATCGTAGCGTATCATGAAAAAAAAAAATAGTTGTGAATTTTCATGTCACCGAGTAACTGATAAGTGATAAGTGATAACTGTATAACTACAAAATATAACCCAGACAGTCGTGGTAGCACTGGTAGCACAGAACAATTGATAACATGAACATTTTTATGTTATCTCATTATCTGTATTCTATGATAATTCAAAAACATTACAATAACGACTATCGAGAAAATGGTTTATCCTTGTTAACATTTTAAATTGTTATTTGTTTTATCATTTTGAATTTTGATTTGTTATTATTATTTGTAGTACTGTTGTAGCGTGGACTGTGGTTTTACTTCAAACTTTTTATCATTTTTATTGACTTGACAAATCTTAGTATTTCGTCAAAATGAGCTTATTAAAATGGCTTTCTGGCTCTAAAACAAAAGCCAACAGGGATCACAGCACTGAAAGTACAGGTAGTTCATACAATCCACGAACACGATTTAAATCGGAATTAACGCAATCATCACTACTACCAGATTCAGATCCAGGTAAATAGTTATAAAAATTGTCTTTTGTGTGATGTTATTTTTAAAATATAAACTGTGTTGTAGTTTTGATTAGATATAAACTATAAAATTTACATTATTTTATAGTTTATATCTAATCAAAACTAAAATTAAATTAACTTTATTAACTTACTAATTGAATAAAATGATAAAATGTTCTAGATTCTCAACAATAATTAATTTCAACACATATTTTTTTTTAGAATGTGCTTCATATTCTGGATGTAGTGTCATACATGAAGACGATCCAGCATCAGACATTAAAGGAGCTTATGAAAAAGTACTACAAAATAAAGGACCATTTCAACCAAAGGATATCAAGTTTGAAGTGAACAAAAACCGATCATTTCTTATCTCTTGGTATGATTTATATCCATGGTTAGAGTACAGTCCTACTAGTCAGGCAGCTTACTGTTATTCATGTAGAGCGTTTCCAAGTCTAACTAACAAAGCATGTAGGGGTCAACATACTGAACCAGCATTTGTTAATGTTGGCTTTAAAAACTGGCCTAAAGCTATAAGAAGTTTTAATAAACATCAATCTAGTATTCCTCACAAAGAATCTACAGTAAAAATAGCTGGACTGAAATCAACTGTAATTGTTGGTGATGTGACCGTCCAAGTAAACAAACAATATAGCATAGAAGTTGAAAATAATAGATTATATTTTAATTGCCTGTTAGATAGCTTATTGTACTGTTGTCGACAAGGTATTGCCGTTAGGGGTCATCGGGAAGATGATACCTCTTTAAATAAAGGTAATTTCTTGGAACTTATGGAATTAAGAGCTAAAGATAATACTATTATTAAACAATACTTTATTGAAAAAGAAAAAAGTTTTAGATATGTAAATCCTTCATACTTAAATATGTTTATAGAGTACATGGGGAAAGATGTTTTACAATCAATAATTAGAGATATCCAGGATTCCAAATTTTTTAGTATTATGGTTGATGAAACACAGGACTTGGCTAAGCATGAGCAAGTTGCCATATGTATTCGATATGTTTCAAAACTATTTATTACCCATGAAGTTTTCTTGGGCTTTTATCGCACCGATAAAACTGATGGTGAAACGTTAGTAAATCTTATAAAACAGTTTTTACAAACAAATAATTTAAGTATTCAGAACATCAGAGGACAGTGTTACGATGGTGCTGCATCTATGCGAGGTTCATATAGAGGTGTCCAAGCTAGAATCCGATCGGAAAATAAATTTGCTATTTATGTGCATTGTTATGCACATATTTTAAATTTATGTCTTGTAGACCTTTCGAAACAATCATCATTTGTAAGAAATACATTTGGAACTCTACAAACTTTATATTCATTTATGGGTGCATCATCAAAGAGAAATAGTGTTTTTGAAAAAATATTAACAACAANTTAAATTTAAACCATATTTTATTAATAATTAAATTTAATTAAACTTAGTATCGCAGTTTAGTATCTTGATAGTCAATGTTTACTATATCAATCTTGCCTACAAAATCTACATTAAATTTAATTAAAATATTAATTATAGAGTTCTTATGCAATGCACATATATTGGGAATTTCACCGATGAACATAGACAAGTTAAGAAACGTCGAATGGTTGGATCAGAAATTGATAAAGCATTAGAATCGGTAGTACATAATGGTATATCATGTGAAAGTTATAGAGAAACGGAAGCTTGCCGTCTAATGAAAATAGGTTAGTTGAAATAAACTATTAATTATCATAAGCTTAATAGTTATAATGCATAAAGTAATACTTTTAGTTAAAAATTGACTATAATAATGATATTACTTATTAGTATCAGAAAAAAACTAATTTTTCTTAACAGTTATTTATATATGGTTATATTGTATTTATAATTTGAATTTTATATTATTCCATATTGTTATATTATATATGCTAGTAAAACAAAAACGGGTTAATATTATGCATTTTATATGCAATTAATAAGTATTTATTTTAAATTATTCTTATAATAAATTTTTAATAATTTTTGAAATTTAAGTTTCTTTTTTATTTAATTATTAGCTATTAGTATATAACTATGATAGGTAGCTGAACATTTACAAATGAAATTTAAGTTAAATAACTTATTTTATTGTGGTTCAAAGGAAGTAGGTATGTAGGCAAACAAAATGTAATTTTTGTTGTTATTAGATATTTTATAGAACAAGATTTTCAAATTTCTTTTTTAATATTTTTATAAGTTAATTTGGGATATATACATAAAATTACTTTAGATTATAATTTACAATTACTAATATTGGGAGAGGCAGTAATTTTTTTAATAATCTTAAATGTATACATTTTATACTTTACGCTTACTTATTATAAATACAAAATACTGAAACATAAAATTTCTTTTACACACTTTTTGTCTGGCTGAAAGTCTTGCAATATACTTACCTACTGTCAAATATTTTTGTACAATTTTTGTAATTCAATTTAATTAAATACAATTAAATTTAATTCATTTTGGACATAAGAAACATGAAAAAAATATATCAGTATATTATAGTGTCTAATATATAGTTAACTTAGTACATTAGTAGGTCAGTTATGTACAAAATCAGTGTATTAGAATATTAAACCCATTTGGAACCTAATTATTTTAGTACCTACCTATTCTAAATTGGTGGTTCCTTTTAAAACTGATGTATTAAGTTAGTAATTTTACTTTATGCTATATAATAAATCTGCTACTGATGATATCATATATTTATTTTGTAGGCGCCCCAAATCCAGCTATAATCCCCACAGGAAATGCATTGAGGATATTAAAATCACGTAAACAGGCACAAAACAAAAGGCATACTGACAAACTTACAGCTCTAGCTATTATGAGAACTGAGGAAGACTTCAAAAATATATTGCAGGATATGGGAAGTCATCCATTTTTTATTCATTACCACTGCTCTGAACAAATTCATATATATAGAAGTTATTGTCGAAGTGTTCAATACCCACTCTTAATAATTGATGCAACCGGATCAGTTGTAAAAATTTTTTCAAAATTTGGCTTTCAAAAAACCCGTTTTCTTTTTTTATATGAAGGTGTGGTTTATGATAATATTAAAAAACATAGCTTCACAGTAACCAACATGATCAGTGAAAGGCATAATAATATATCAATATTTAATTGGTTAGCTAAGTGGATTAATTGTGATATACCAACTCCAAAAGAAACTGTCTGCGATCAATCGCTCGCCCTTCTTTCAGCCATTGTACAATGTTTTACACAATACTCTTCATTGAAAGATTATTTGAGAGTTTGTGCTGATATTGTGTTTAAGAGGTTACCATCTAATTCACATTGGTTGCCAAATTGTTTTGTGAGAACAGATGTGGCTCATTTTATCAAATTAGTCAGTAAGTGGACACCATTGAAAACAGCACCAAGAAGAGTGAGAGAAATTATTATTCGTGTCATTGGAATTATTTTAAAAAGCCAATCTCTGGCCTCTATTGAATCAATTATTATGTCATTGCTTATAGTAATCACCAATGAAACAGATGGTAATGATTTAATATCATTTGAAGACACACCATGTGAACAGCATAAAAAAATCTTAATTCAAGCTGTGAGTACTGAGTTAAATTTAGAAGAAATATTCGCATTAGAAGAGACAGATGATGATCAAAATATAAACATGGATCATGAGTATGAATGCCAGAGTGAAGAACTAGAAAACCTTGATAACCCCTTTCAATCATGGTCAGAAGGTTTATTTGAAAAAAGTAAAACATTTATCCGCGAAGGAAATGGTATCAATGCAATGTTTTTGCCTGCATTAGTTCCTTTTATATTAAAGTGTACAAAACTTTTGCCATTGTGGTCTGGATTAATGGTTCCTTTTTTTGGTTATGGTGAAAGTACGACCAGTTCAGCTGCTGTCGAATCCAGTTTTAAAAAGTTAAAACATGTTATATTTAAACATACTTCTCTACCAGTAGACATTGAAGAGTTCTTAGAAAATCATATTATGTCACTGCAGGGGGCATCACTTATTCGGTCTGCAGTTAATACCCAAACTACTGAAATATTACCAATTTTAGCTGAAAATGTCACCATTTCACCTCAAATTACATAAAATGTGGATAATGTATCAGCATATATTAGTAATGATTGTTTCCAGACTCAAAGCAAAACTTGTCTAGGTGAAGAAGACATTGCTTGTGAAAATTGGAATAGAAAAAGCAAAAAGCAAACCAATAAGTCATATTTGACGCCAAATCCACTCTTACGCCATTTAGGTATAAATAATCCTAGAATTATAAGATTATTACCTATATTAAAAAATGGTTCACGGGCAGAAGAATTGAAAAGTTGTTCAATTTCTGAGGTTGGAAAAGTAATTCTTAGTAACACATGTGCTTTTGACACATTAGCTTCAATATTTATGGCAGCATATTGTGACAGTGATAATTATCAAAAACAGATTGATGCTATAAAAGAAAATGATGAATATTTCCAATTTATATCCATCATAGTTACAAAAGGTATAACTGCATCAACATATTCAGATAGAGCAAAATTTATTGTAAATATGCTTAATCCAGAATTAAAACAACTAGAGTATAATACAACTCTTGCTATTTGTGATGCAACAGCAGGATCAGTTTTAAAAGCCATTTTGAAACAAACCCCTACTATAACTGAAATTAATTTATGTTCAAACTCTGAATGTAAAAGATCTCTAAGTCAAGTTATCACTTATATCACATACCAAACAACTGATGAGAATATAAACGACCTGCAGCAGTTCTTAGATAATCGTTTATGTGTAGAAAGTTCAGTGTGTGGTTATGATGAATGCATTGGAATAAAAAGTATAGATCCAATAATTTCAAATATGCATATTATAATAGAAATTTTGTATTGGAATAGTAAGTTAACGGTTTGATTATTTTTCTAAAAATATATAAAAATAAAAGAATTTAATCTTTTTTTCTTGTTTGTTGGTATAGGTGATTAAACCACTTACAGCACAGAAGTAGGACGCTTAGTTGAAACTAAATTGTGTGATTTACCCCCTGTGTTAATACATAATGAATTAACATATGAACTGAGAGGTGTAGTCAATTATATACGTGGATTAAGCAGGTTGAGGACATCAGTTGGGCATTATACTGCTTATTGTAAACGCAGCGAAAGAAGTTGGGAACTATTTGATGATCAAAAGAAAAAAACTATATCAGTAAAAGACTCCACTAAAGTCATATGTGAATATTTAATATATACAATTTAATAATAAAAGCAGTTTAGTGTAAGTAATTGATATCTAATAAAATATGTGTTTTAATTCAAATTGATTTTATAATTTATTCAATATTTAACCATCAGTATCAGAACAAGAAAAGACATACCTACATTATATATATATAAGTGTATTCATCAATTATGTATTTATTCTTTTGCATATAAAGGCATATTTTTAATTTAATAGAATAAATTAATATAATATCATATCTTTACATATTTTACTATGATTTTCAAAGAATATTGGAAGAATATTTTCAACTTTTTAAAATATTAGAATCTTGTTTTGGTTATTTTAAAAGAAAATTATTCCGGCCTATACTGATTTATAACTTATAACTTATAACATTGTAATTTATCACAACCATAGAATATAGATTTAACAATAATTATATTATAATAGAAATATTTTATACTAAATAAATACATTAATTATTATTAAATCAAAATTGAAAATAATAACAAACAATAAATATTAATGCCTGATACTCTGATGATAAACAAAACACAGACTATTAATTATGTTTGATACAATTTAAACTTATTCATAACCAGGCACGTAAATGGATGCTTATTTTTTTTTTTGGGGGGGGGGCGATCAGTGGCAAAGCCAGGGAGTTTTAGGAGTTCGGCCCCCTACTTTTCCTAAAAAAAGGATATTGATAACTAGAGCCAACATTATTAATAATATGAAAATAGTATCATTTTTCCATATACCTAAAGTAGGTAGGTACTTACAAAATATAAGTATTAAATATTTTTCGCAGTAGACTTATTAAAATATATATGATACATATATTGCTTATAGTTCAAAATTATGATTAGGTACCTACCTAATAATGATACTACAGTCTTAAATATAGCACAAATGTAAATTTAACTGTATAATAATGAAATTAAAATATACCTTGAGTTGCCAATGGGTTTCTCTCTTATAATCCCTTTAAAGTTGGACCCACATATAGAACATCTTCCAATGACACAGACATATACAGCTCCTTCATTATGCACTGTAGATCTCTTAAAAGAGATACAACAAGGCAGTTGAGTGTGCTCCCAAAAGTGTTCTGCAATCATTGGGCTCCATTTGCCTTTTGGTAAAACATAAAACGAGCGACAACTGCTCATAGGCCTGGATTTATCGTTCAATTTATAGACTACTTCTTCAGGCTGAATTTGTTGCCACTCAGATGATGAAAATGTGATTACAAATTCTTTTTTTGGTAGATTGTTAAAGTCTTCACTGCTATTTGATTCTATTAAAAACAAATAAATATTTTTAATTAAAAATAATTATTAAATATAAGTATATTATAGGTATTAGGTATTGTAAATTTGTATATTGTTAAAATAGTTTTACCAGAATCATCCTGTAGTAATTCATCTGTAGTTTGTACAGCATCAGAACCTGAAGTTAAGTTTTGTTCTATAACTGGAAGAAATCCTAAGAGCTCTTTTATATTATGCCTTCCATTGTGGACAAACAAATGTAAAGCTCCTTTACTTATTGCCCCATTTAAGTACTTACTCATGTCACTCCATACATCATTTGTCTCAACAGAAATTTCTTAAAAAAAACAATAAATATTACATATACATTTAAATTAATGTTTTATAAGAGTAATAATATAAGTGGGTGATTTAATTTTTTTTTAAATAGCATATTATATAAAAATATGTAGATATTCACATTGTAAGTTAAAAATGTAGTTTGTTGTAAGTAATAGGTATAAAGAAGTAGGAATATATTTATTAATCAAACAATAATAATAAATCTTAATAAAAAAAACAAAATTATGTTGTGGTATAAAAAAATGCATGAAGATTTTTAGATTTAAAAATTGTTAAAAAGTATTTTGGCATTAATTTGGTAACTTTAAAAAATCACTTACTTCTTACTCCATTCATTTCCTGAATGACTCTATCTCTGAATCGAAGCACTGTTTGGACTATCTTTTCAGGAGGAACAGATGCTTTACGTCCTCTCATTTTAATAATTATTAATTCAATTAAATACCAATTTAAAAATATTATGTCTCAAAAAGTACTTGTTCAAAGAAAAATTTAACATAACACTGAGCACAATAAAAACATTTAAAAATAATGAACTTTTGAAAAAACTAGTTCTAATAGTAATATCTTGGCTATTAATATTTAATATGTTTATGTAAATAATATAAAAGTATTTTTTAATTCTTTCTTCCAAGAGGAGCAATAATAATGTTATGGTTCTACCATATTCGATTTTTTTTTGTGACAGTAAATATTAAATAACAGAAACAATAATTCAACTTTAAAACTTCTATACAGTTATACAACATGCCCAGTTTTTTATAGATTATTGGGACAATGTTATAATTGTAATATTGTGTGTCGTTGTTGCCTACATGATGAGGTGAGTTCTTATTTCGGACGGAGTATATAGGCACCTTATATTTTAACATTATTTTAAGTTATAACAATCATTATTGAGAATTAAATGAACCCAACAATTTATAGGAATAGGGAGGGAGAAGGGGCAAAAGCAGCATTCAATATCAATGGAAATTACCATCTCAATTGTTCAGCCTAAATTAGGAACTAAGTATAAAGCTATACAAATTTAACATTGTATACCTTTTTAACTACCTATTTCATTACATATTTAAGATTTTGATTGAACGAATAAAATGTTTTCGAACAAACGTGGATGTAAGACAGGAATAAAAACATCATTATTAAATCGATTTTCATCGATCGACATTCACATATTAATTTTTTATTGTGCATACCTACATAAAATAATAATTTAACTATTTCAGTTGTAGTGAAATCTTTAAAGTGTCTCCGATTAATAAGGTTTTGCACTTGAACAAAATCCCTAAACAAAGGTAATTTTTTTTTTTTATTTAAATTACTAACAACTTCGTCAATTTTTGAACAGAAAAATATGACAATGAACAAAATTGCCCATATTATGTATTTTAAACTAGCTGACCCTGCACACTTCGTTGCCCGTAAAAATTGTGATTGATCGACTCTTTTTGGATGTAACTCGCTACAGTAATTGGATCATATAAGGTAGCCAATCCACCTGTGGTGGATCGCAGGTACTGCAATGATCAGCTATAAATGTAACTCTGCAACCTTAAGTAGGCAAATCCGTCCACAGATTTGATCCATGCTGGAAAAATAGTTGTTCTACCAACATAAAACTGTACTCTCGCAGTTATTCTGGTAACGCCAACAACGGAAAATGGAAAATTAAGTCGTGATAATAAACTTTCTTAATTTTTCGTAAAAAAAAACTTACTCAACAAATTCCAAATGTCCAAACCCATATAACAAAATAATGAACACAAAATTATAAAATAACTTTAAAACCCATAGATTATACTGATCATCAAACAATAGATATTGCACTTTTCTAATTATTCGGTTGACTTTTTAAAAATTTTCTTGCGTACAAACCTTCTCCTGGCAATTACGAACATCTTAAAAAAATTTGAGGCAAAACGGACCAGCCGTTCTCGATTGATGAATTGTTATACATTTTTGTCTTCATTTTTATTTATATAAGATATAATATTTAAATTGCCAAAAAAATAACTAATGAAGAAACTTGTATGCCATTTTGACAAAATATTAAAATACAGCGTTTTGGCCCTTCCATACCGTACTAAATATTCCCGAAAGAAAATGTTGGAAAAACTTGTTTTTAAATTTAAGAGGGCCTCCAACGTTTCTAAAGCCCCCCACATTTTTTTGATTTTTCCTTTGAAAATAAATCCGTACAAATTTTGATTATTGTCGTACAAATCCATACAAATTCCGTACTAAATATTCGCAAAAGAAAATGTTGGAAAAACTTATTTTTAGTTTCCGGGAGGGCTGGGGAAACGACTGATGTGGAAAACCCGTTTTTCGGTTGGAAGGGATTTCGCGAAAAATTCGCGAATTGTTGTAAAAACGCATACAAATTCCGTACTAAATATTCGCGAAGGAAAATGTTGGAAAAACTTATTTTTAAATTTGAGAGGGCTGGAGAAACGTTTCTACAGCCCCCCCAATTTTTTTTGCTTTTTCCTTCGAAAATAATTCCGTACAAATTTTGATTTTTGTCGTACAAATTCATACAAATTCCGTACTAAATATTAATGAAACATTTTTTCAATTTTTCAAGTTGGGTGGGGCTGGGGAAACGTTCGTTATTTATTTAGTAATTTATGGGTTGTGCGAGCTATACCCGTGCTTCCTCCTAGGTCTATATACTATGTGTGAATATACTGAATTGTACCAATTATCGTGGCTTGATTTAAGTATAGTTATAGGTAACATGTAATTTATCGACGATTTTGGTAATATTATAGTAAGTGTAGGTTGTGTTTTAATTGCAGTGAAATGTTTATAACATTAGTACATAATATTTAATTTATTACAGTGAATTGTCTGGATTTTCTGTTGATTTTAATTGACTCTTCGCTATCATCAATATCAGAGTTATATAGATATGTTTATACAAAAAAGTATAGTTGAGTTAAATTAGTTAAACTAATTTTATTTGTTGCAGCAAAACATTTTTTGTTTTTGAATGTAGATCATCATTTTCTTAATTTATTATGTTTAACGCATTTCCTTCAGGCGTCTGCATTCGATTATCTTTGCCCTTTTATATAGAATTTTAAAATTATAATATAATTATTTTAACTTAATCTTGCTATTTAAGTTAACAGTATTTTAATTTTCATAATAGATATGTACTCAACACTAATGTTATCGAAAAATGAAGTAAAATGTGAATCAATTGGTTACCAAACAATTAACACACTTAACAAATATTGTATTTTTTTTCCCCGAACATTTTAAAAAGTGCTGTTCATTTTCCATTTGGACCTCCTGTAAAAGTACCAAATAGATCCAATTTGGTATCAGAAACCTACCTCGATTTGGTGATCGAAGTATTTTTTCTACTAAATAAAATTGTTTTGAGACACAATGAAAAAATAAAAATATACACATCATTGTAAAATCAATACACTGTTCGTTCCGTTCCGGTAAAAAAGTTTGGTCTCTTCTGCTATATAGGATGTAAAATATTATTGTCATTTGGTGGTTCGAGGTAAACTCTAAACTTACAATAGACCCATCTACAGGTAGTGAGATTGGTATCCTTCTTTGTTTGTCACCACTAAAATGGATTGGTATATTTTTAATGGGTTTGAAATTATCTATAGGGGTTTTTTTTTTTTATTGGTTTGTTCATGTTTAGCTTATTACATTGTTTGTTATAGTCATCTTTTAGAAGATTAGTTAGAGGGGTTTGTTTTTTAGTAAAATAATTAAGATATTTTCTGCAATGTGCTATTTTTAAATCCTTGTAGTAATCTTGTTAATTGCATGAGGCCTCGTATAGAAGTAAATGCCAATTAGTAATTTAGGTTGGTCTTCAGTTTTAATTTATAAATAACTAAATGTATAATAATGATTAGTCCATTGCAGTATGTTTAATTTGGCATAAAAGTCGATTATACTGCAGCCATAGCCAGCGGGACAGATTGACAATTATATTTTGTTTGATATTTTCTACGTTTTTTTTTTAAAAATTATCACTCAATGTTTTTTTTTTTATTGATCATAATTTATAGTATAGGCTAGTGACTACTATGGGCTAATAGTTCTAATTTACATTATAGCAAGTGCCTATATTAAGTTGTATAAATCTATTTCCTTTAGGAAGTCGATGATGTTGATATTTAATTGGAGATCTAGTTGTAAGGCTTCTCCTATAGTATGCAGTGGTGTTTATTTCTGTAGTTTTTCAATTCTATATACGTAGGCATTCGGTGAATATGTGTTTGACTGCGTACTCCACTGCACACTCGACGTTTTTTTTACTATTTCTTAAACTGTTTGGTCATTTAAATTGATTATTTTTTAGATACTTACAGATTTTTTTTTTTCAATTTATGTTATATAGTGATTGGTCCACTTCGCTACGGTTATCATAAATTCTATTCACTATTGTTTCTCGTTTTCAAAAATATGGCTGGGGTCACACGGGCGTTTTATTGACGCTCGTTACGTAACGTCCGTTGTTGATTGCTATAATAATATTGCCGACGGTCACATATCACTCGTCGTCCGTCACTCCGTCGCATTTACTGTACGTCCGATACATGCTACAACGGACGTTACACTTAACGTCCGATGACGTGTGAAGCTCGCGAGACCCCCAGTCTAAACGTCTAGCAGCTTTAGGTTTACGACCTTTCGTTATATTTCGTGCTAATTCGTCCTGAGATATTAGAGGATCAATGTATGCCTGCATAAAGGTTCGATTCCGTAAATAAATAATGATTGTTGTTCGTTTGGCGGCCATAACTTGTTTGCGCTCTTCTAAGAAGTGGCGCCGATCATCTATATCTATACGAAATATCCCATAGTAGGTTTTTTAGATCAGAGGGTTCAGGGTACTGCAAGGATCCTGCTATATGGATCCAGAATTCACGTCAAAACGTCAAAACAAATTGCATTAAACATTGCATTATGCATTGGTGCTTTGCATATCTGATTGTTAAATTAAAAAAGTGCAGGGATGATTGGGGGGCCCCTTGATGTACGAGATCATGTCATTGTATATGCTTTTAAACATTTTGGCTCCAAGGCTGCTTCTAAAAAGACGTGGAGTATCAGTTTGTGCGATTGATTCAGCTCATCTACACAGTTGTCCTACTTCTGTCCATTTCGTATAGTGGAAATAGATTACATTTCAATACCTACTATCGTAAATTGTTAATTCTGGCCCCTCTTTTTATTTTTGCCTACAATTAATTGGATTTTTCCTTAGTTGTCTGAGTGTAACCAACCATTTACAGTGTTTATCTTGTAATTTTATATTTTTACTGGCTATTATACCTAATAGCCGACTTCCTCCGGGAGAAAAAATGAATAAACATAAAATACGGCGCTGAATCGGCGTACATCAGCTGTTTTAGTGTATGGCAGATTGTCAGATATCGGTGTACATCGCTTTGTTAACTTATTCGACCGAGATGGGCATCGGTCCGTGTCGGATTGGATATAGCACTTAGTGTATTTTTGAACGTAGTTCAAACTACTTTCTAGACTTTCTGGTATCTCTAATAATAACTATATCTCTGAAACTTTAGTCAAAATCAGTTGAGTAGTGTTTGAGTCTAAAAGCTACAAACATAAGAACATTGCCTTTCATTGTACTTTAGAATGATAACAGATAATAACAAATTAATAAATATTATTTTATTAAAAAAAAATTTCATAGCAACGCATGGTATTGTCTATACTAGTAAATAATAAATTATGTTCACGACCTATATACCTACCAATTTTTTTTCATATTTAATTTCTGTAACCAATGACAACCCTATTATATACATGTAAACAAAAATTATTTGATATATACAACAGCCAAAATTAAATTCACGCATGAGACTGTGATCCACCCTATAGTTGCAATACCTATAGGGGTTGAAAAAGAACCTAAAATCATCTTCCAAATCAGAAGGAATCTGTTGATGTAGGTAACTGTAATTGAAATCGGTCATGTATAGTTTCTGAGATTAGAGCATTCAAACATACAAACTCTTCAGCTTTATAACGTTAATATAGCATAGGTATCAATTAGTTTATTTTATTTACTTATAATATGATTGCGTTTATTTATTTTATATTATTTGTACAGGAACTTCACATATGTTGTTATTGAACGTATAGTATCTAGAACATAAGAAATCTTGTAAAAAAATACTTTTAATTTGTATTTAAACAGATATACTAATACCTACGTCATATACTTGAAAATCATTTAACGAGTATTTTGATCAGTAAGTCAATAAGTGTTTAAGAACAAATACAAATACTTTTAAAATATTTTATTCTTTTTAATATATATATATATTCTTTCTCCCTTTATTGTCAATACCCATTATTTTGTCTTTGACTTTTTAAATTTGACCATTTAAACTGTACAGTGTACACTATAATACTATATATACCTAATATACCTACACATATACCTACGAGATATGACCAGATAGGTAGGTATCAAATAACAAACTGTATAAATGTTCGGAAAAATATCATTCAATTTACCTATACTTAAATTAATTCATGGGGTGGCGTGTGCCAGTGTACTTTTATTTTTATTTCACACCGAACACAGTATACACAAGCGTACGCAAAAAAAAGTACAAAATCAAAAGGTATGCGATACCCGACAATAACAATACTTCATAGTTTTAATTTTTCACGTCACATTATTTATGTAGGCTTTATTTCGATGAATATAATCAACAATGGCGCTTGGAGTTTATTTTAGGAGGCTATATCAATTAATATAAAATGGCCAATGTCAATGTTTTTATATTTGAGTAGAAAAAAAAATATTAAATAATTTAATTGATAGTTCAAACAATGACGATAAAGTACTTGAATACAAGTATTTGAATTTAAAATATACAATTGGCCATTATGATGGCTATAGCTAGGTAGCTATAGGTAAGATACGCATGACACAACAATATTTCAAATTCTTTATTTAAAAATTATTCTTTACTTTATTGCTTATTGATTTTAAATACTTTACCTACAATATTGAATACTAGGAAATAAGCTTGACAGTTGGTCTCTACTTTGTGATGAAATGAATAAGCTAGTGGGCACACTACACCAGCTGATAAATATTTCGCTCGTCGCCTAAACGAATAATATTTAAACAACAATTATATAACATCACAAAGAGAATAACTATTGAAATATATATATACATATATAACACTATTACAAACACGGTCATTATCAAATTAATGTATAATTGCTTAAAACACAAATCACAGTTCTAAAGGCCTACTATTTGTTGTTAGTAATACCCTACCAACTAATATAATATTATCGATGCGTCGATGTTTCCAATAACTCTCATTGCCTAAAATAATATAATATTGTGATCATCAGTCGGTCGGTTACAACACATCAACAATCAACTACACGAACGCTAATAATTTGTGGTAAGGACAATTTTCACTGTTACAGAGGGACCCATAATGTAATAATGTGTAATAATTATACGATGTAAATTTGTAATACATAACTTAATATTGTTACTTCTATCAATAAACCGTCGTAGTCGTGTGGGTTTCGATAAACACAAAGATACATACAATAATAATATTATTACCTATAATAATTAATAATACATAGATAATACTATAATAGAGGTTACGGGTTCGTCTTTCTATACGTTTTTGTTCAGATCGTCGAAATATTGAAATGGCGGATGAAAAGCTTGTTGGTACCTAATTTATAAACCTATGGAATTTTTAGTAGTTAAATTAAAATAATTAAATCTAGTTCTTACGCCAAAAGACCAAATAAAGTCTCCGAATTGACGATTATTGCATGTATAATAATAATAATACTAACTATGAAATTTATTATTTTTTGAAATATTTCATGAAACTCTTATGAAATATCTCATTTTTAAATGAATAAAAAAAAAAATTTAATTTAAAACTACAGGAAATACAGTAAACACATCTCTACTTAGTTAAATATTAAGTGGAAAATGTTGAAGAAATATTGTTCACACTATACATTATGCAATTGTTAATAACATAATAATTATCTATATTACACATTTTATCTTCCCCAGATCGTGATCGGGAATTATATATTAATAATCACTCATCAGGTATGGAATCAGTCTGACCATCTATAGTGATGATTTTTCGAGACTACCGAAAAATGTAAAATTATAAGAAACAAATTTAAAAATGTATTTTTCAATATTTCAAGACGGGTGTTATAAATAAGTCGTTTAAAGTATAAATATTTCATACTCATAATTCTAATACTCGTAATGTACAGTATTGAGAAAACGACGAGTTGAGTACCTACCTAACTGTTGGTACATGTGACGCGAGGACGATGGGCACACGGACACGGTGGACATGTTATTTTATATTCTTAGCGGATCGAGAGAGCTGTCGGTTTTTACAATGATTATTCGCGTTTGTTTTTTTTTGTAAACATTTCACTCCGGGGAAGTAAAAATAGTAGGTAGGTACAAAATGTTTTATGCAACACCACGCGTAGGTACGTAGGAAACAAAACACACGCTGCAGTGTTTATAGTTTCTGGAATTTCTAAGTACGGTTAAAAAAATAAATCGTCAAAACTGATGGGAAAAGACGAATAAATGAAAGCAATTGCCGCGGATTGCCCATATTTAACCGATATATGTCGCACGTTTTTGAGTAAGACTAGCGCACTGCTTGCAGGTATAGTAAAAACGATGATAATATAATGAATTGTTGCATTCAAATCTGAAACAATTATAAACAACATTAGTGTATATGCCAATCATTATTTTAGATCGATTAGAATAATAATTGTAGAGTCTATGTAGTGCTTTAATAGTTTGGAAAACTATAATATGTTTTTTTTTGACCTTTCGTTTATCCGAAATTCGTATGCAAACACTTCATTTCATCATTATCGTTTCATCATAATATTATAATCAGTTCGTTTCTTCTCTAGCGCAGGATCTGTTTTTGTTTAAGACATATAATAATATTATGCAATAACTGAAGATAATTTTAATGCGTATACGCGGTAAGTAGTATAATACAGGCACATATAACACTAAAATACTAGGAAGATGTATTACAAGATATTGTTCAAATGCATTTTCCTATAAACTTTATCTCATGTTTTTCTATTGTATTTTATTATTGAAGTTTGAACTATTAAATTTGTTTTGACTTTTGCTTTGTCCTGGAAATTCGATGACTTGTATTTGTATTATAACTGATAATCAGATGATGCACAACCGATATGCACACATATATGTCTACATATTGCACGGCACGTGGCTTCTATTTACACCACTCCCAACTTTCATCCATTACAGGGTGAAATTTTTGCGTGCTCCAAAAGTTAATATTTACAAAAAGTTTATTGTAAAAGATAACTTTTTACTGCAGCAGATCTGCTACCCACCAAGCGTGCGATTTCAGTGGAAAACTGCTGAAGTCTCATTTTATTTTTTCAGTCATATATTTAACCATAAAATAAATTACATAAACTATGAGAACGCAATTTAGCGTTTTGAGAACACCGCCGAAGCCCGACGCCCGTACCCAATGCCTATAAATACTGATTCGTTTAAAACTATCGTGTTTCGAGCGTTTTAATATTTTGGTACATTGTCCGGGGCTTGAAATCGGAATGAAAGTTTTTGATTTCAGTTGCAATTTAACATATCGATATATTTTGTTTTTTCCGATTTAAATTTAAAATAATATATTGCTATAATAATTTCATGATTTTTATATCGTTGCAAAATATCGGTTTAGTTGTGTTATGATTTTTGATTAGATTTTAAACACCATATCAATTTTTTTTTCGATTTATTTAATACATTTTGGATTTTACTATTTTAAATATGTTTTCTAACTACGATAGAAACCCGTCATCGTTTGGGCGACTGTTTAACAGGCTTAAGCAAACGAAACATTAGTTATTGATCATTACCTCCATGTGAACAACATTATATACCTATCAAATAATGTTGAAATGTATATTTTATTTTTATTTTTAGATCGATCATTATGAAAAATATAAAACGAACATTTTTTTGATATTAATATAAATTGTGGATATCATTAAAAAAAATATTTGACTTTGATTTTGTAGATGATTTTTATCTGTTTTTATCAATATTTAAAATCGATTTATAAATCAATTCAACAATATACAGAAAATAAAAACAGTTTTATAAAACAGTCGACGGAAATATTGTTTATTAATTAATCACTAACGATACTTTGATGAAAAAAATGTTCGACACTCCTTGTATACTCCACTACAAAATATCAATAGTTCGCTACGAAAATTAAAAACGTGCACCTAATAGATTTTACATGGATCGGGCAAGGTTCCATATTCAACCGTATTGTAGATTTATAATAATAATAATAATAATAATTTATATTAATATATTATATTATCGTTATTTTTCAGATTTAGTTTTTTTTTTAAAGAAAACCGTGTGGATATTGTGTTCATTATTGGTCTTCACGGTGTAAAATTAATTAATATACATCACCCGCCATACAGTTGGATTAATAATAATATGTGTAATGATTAGCCTATTGGCACCAATGTGTTATTGATATAGGTAGCCATCATTGATATGTGCATAATGTTTATTCGTTGTTCGTTGTTGGACACCTACCTAACTATATATTTTCTCAATTAAGAATAAAGATCTGTTGACAGATCGAAGAGCAATGGAGGAACTAAAAAAGGCGTTGAAACTCCAGGCGAGGCTATACAACTCGGACACGGCCTTCGTCAGCATATCGACATTGGACATGGGTCGAAAGTATCAAATCACTGATCTATCCAAAGTCCAGTCGGCGTATGGTTTGCGCATATTGGTCAGTCTCCAAGGAGATCGGAGGATATTGAAAACATACTTACCGAAATCCATCAAGTTGAGTGATTCTTATATCGACGGTTTCATCAATCGGGACAGAAGGTCGGTTCTGTATTTGATTTACAAGGGTGTAAAATCTAATGGAGCGTATAAAATCGATTTTGAATGATTCCGGTCCATCGAGTTTATTAAGATTGTTTTGAATTTTGTTAATTTTTTTTTTTTGTGAAAAATTAAAATACACGATGTAACATATTTTTTCAATGTTCTAAATACACTATTGTATAATACTGAATATTATAATGTCGACGTATATAAGATTAATGTATTAATTAATGTTTGTGTATTGATTATACCTACTTCTCGTGCGGTGAATAATACAATATTGTAATAAATTACGAAAACTTTAAATAGAAAGTTAATTTTTTCTTGTTTTTGTCAAATAGATAATTGCCTGAAGTTGAAAAATAAATAAATCGTAGAATCTTCAATTTACGCATAGTTATTAAACGTCGACTACACGTCATATTTAACCAGGATTATTTTAAATCAAGTGTAGAGACTGTAGACGATTAAATTACTGTGGCTTTGCATTATAGAAACTGCATTATCTAATTATATTTAATTATTCTTTGGATATCCAGAAATTTGCAGTATTTGTCAATGTACGTCGGATGCAAGTATCATCTGCAAGCCACGAAAGATACTGTAATGGTGTGGTGTAACTTGTTGGAGTGATAGGTATAGTCATTACTCATTTTCCTAGTGATATGACTTTGTTGTCGTCGATCGAAAGTTTCTGTTTTTTGTTTTGCATACAAGGATAACGTTTTAACAAAAAACAAAATGTCTACAAGACGTATCGAGTGAAGAACCGAAATGATTTTAAAAAGTTTATGAACTTTGTGCTTCTCCCAAATCTTATCTCGGAGCAACGTGCAGTCTTGTTGGCTTTATAATATTATTCAAACATTAGTAGTTATTTACATTACTTTGATCGGAAAACTCACAAGTTACGACGACGATTAACTACCGTACATAGTTTGTATTGTAAAAATAATCGCATTTTAATAGTTTTATTTTTCTGAAAAAATAAGCAAACATAGCATAATCAGTTATATTATAATCTATAATAAACAAAACAATGTGATATTATGTAGGGTGATTGCATTCTACAGTCGTTAATAGTCCGAGCTACTGAAAATTATACGCAATTAGTTTGAAAAATATATAAAAATATAATTAAAATAATTGCGTTTCTAAAATATATTGATCTTTGACGACATAGTGGTGTACCTACATTGTCTATACATTACGCCGTCACAACTGTCAACAGATTATTATTTGTAATTATTAGAAACAAAAATTTAAAATTTAAAACAAAAAACCTCAAGAATTATTTACCTATGATGATTTGAAGTTCAAATTCTTATGAAATGTGTATTTATTTTACATAAAATAACAAAAGTGGTTTTGTTGTTCAAAAAGTATTAACTGTAGGAACTCATAATTTCACCTACACAGGTACTTAAATTATCAATGCCTACACTTAAGGGCAATTTCAATACATTTAAACTAATTTTAAGCTATTTTAAAACACATCTTTATCATTACAAATTAGTTGGAAAATTAAAAATCTTCTTCATGAATACAACCACATTTTTAAAAAAGAAAAAATATATAAAATAAAAAAATACTTTAGAATGTAATCAAATTATAATACAAACATAAAAAGATTATAAATGTCAATACAAAAATGTTCACTTAGTCAAAAAGCTTGAAAACAAAATTCCTTGTATCTTGTAAATTGTTTTTAAAGCTATTTTAAAATATTAAAGTTGCAAACATAAGATTTTTTAAGCATTCAATGTTCAAATTTGGATTAAATTAGATAGTTAGACAAAAAATAACAATTTAGTTATTTTAATTTAAAAATATTATTTATGGGTAATTTTAAGAAACTTTTAAGTACCGTTATGAATAGGATTATATTTTATACACACTTTAATTATATATTTCATCATTCCACTTATATAGCCTTTTAGAGTTTCTAAATGGTTAATTTTGACGACCAAGAAACTTCACTATTTCAAAAACCTTATTTATAACATGGGTATTATCTAGTACGGATTTTTTCGTTATTGATATCTAATTCAATAGATTTATCATTAGATGATTGAATGCAGGATACTACTGAGTTTCTGTTGGTTGAAGATTCTTCGTGTATTTTAACAACTTCATGAATATGTTTGAAATTATTACAACCATTGGAAAACCAATTCACTTTTCAAAACGTTTGCTTTTAACCCGTTTTCCGCTCGCGATCCATTTTTCGGAGCTGTTCACGCTCCTAAAACGTTCCGCATACCCTCTTGGGGTCGTTGGAGTCGGGTTTTCTTTCGTTCACTGACCGTGGGGCCCGAGACTTCGGTTGTAAACATTTCCGCCGACGGTCGTCTGTCGGGAGTATTTCTAGACCTTTTAGTTTTATCTCGATCCGTTTCGTCTTTTCGATCGAGAGCCGCCGATATTCGGTTCGTTTACGAATTCGATCTGTAGCCCCGCAGTTGCGTTCGCAGATCGCATGGAAGTTAGTACCTAATATATATATATATAAATGCATATATACATGTTGTTTCAAAAAATAAATTCAACAAAGTACATAACATTAAGTTGTATTTAACGTTTTTTCTTAAGTTTATTGGACGGTATATAACAATAATAATAATAATAATAATAATATTTATGAGCGAGGCTGATGATCGAATACCTTTTGGTCAAACTACACGGTAGGTCTCTCATATCGGTAATTGGAAATTTAATGTAGCACACAATTCGTGTAATCCATAGATATTATATTATCAAAATTAGACAAGAGAGCCGGACTGACCTGAAAGTGGGACTGAAACATGAGAGCCGGACTGACCTGAAAGCGGAAGTAAAACATGAGCCGGACTGACCTGAAAGTCTGACTGAAAAAAGAGAGCTGGACTGACCTGAAAGCGGAACTGAAACATGAGAGCCGGACTGACCTGAAAGCGGAAGTAAAACATGAGCCGGACTGACCTGAAAGTCTGACTGAAAAAAGAGAGCTGGACTGACCTGAAAGCGGAACTGAAACATGAGAGCCGGACTGACCTGAAAGCGGAAGTAAAACATGAGCCGGACTGACCTGAAAGTCTGACTGAAAAAAGAGAGCTGGACTGACCTGAAAGCGGAACTGAAACATGAGAGCCGGACTGACCTGAAAGCGGAAGTAAAACATGAGCCGGACTGACCTGAAAGTCTGACTGAAAAAAGAGAGCTGGACTGACCTGAAAGCGGAACTGAAACATGAGAGCCGGACTGACCTGAAAGCGGAAGTAAAACATGAGCCGGACTGACCTGAAAGTCTGACTGAAAAAAGAGAGCTGGACTGACCTGAAAGCGGAACTGAAACATGAGAGCCGGACTGACCTGAAAGCGGAAGTAAAACATGAGCCGGACTGACCTGAAAGTCTGACTGAAAAAAGAGAGCTGGACTGACCTGAAAGCGGAACTGAAACATGAGAGCCGGACTGACCTGAAAGCGGAAGTAAAACATGAGCCGGACTGACCTGAAAGTCTGACTGAAAAAAGAGAGCTGGACTGACCTGAAAGCGGAACTGAAACATGAGAGCCGGACTGACCTGAAAGCGGAAGTAAAACATGAGCTGGACTGACCTGAAAGTGTTCCTGTAAAAAGAGAGCTGGACTGATCTGAGAGCAGGACTGAAACAAGAGAGCTGAACTAACCCGAGAGTCGGACTGACGTGAAAGTGGAACTGAAACATGAGAGCCGGACTGACCTGAAAATGAGACTGAAACATGAGAGCCGGACTGACCTGAGAGCCGGACTGAAACATGAGAGGTTTTACATTATGGATCAGGGTTATTTTGGATTTTAATTGTGAGAACCAGTGCAACAAGCGAAACTCGTCAAACTGAACAAACTGGGCTACTAAAAAAATAAATATTTAATTTTGAAAAATAATATTATATGTATAAAAAAAAAATTGAAAAAAATTTTTTTTATTTAATACATTTCAAGGTCACAGTTAAAATTCAAAACAAAAATGATTCCACAATGTAAAACCTTGTAGACTATGTCTCGACTTTAAGATACTTATTAATTGTGATTTCAAATTTTGTGAGCTAATTGACTATTATACTACATTTTTATTGTGTTTAATATACAACATCAACATACTATTATATTAAAAGTTAACATTGACTGTTGAAATTATTCAATTAAGACCACAAAATGTGATATTACAATTAATAAGTATCTTTAAGTCAAGACATAGCCTACAAGGTTTTTTTACATTGTGGATTCAGGGTTGTTTTGAATTTTAATTGTGACCTTGAAATGTATTAAATTAAATTTTTCAAAATATTTCTTTTTTATATATATATTTTTTTTTCAAATTTCTTTTTATTACTATTATTATTAGCCCGGTTTGATCGAACTCGCCTGTTACACTGGTTCTTACAATTAAAATTCAAAATAACCTTCAATCCACAATATTAAACCTCTCATGTTTCAGTCCCACTTTCAGGTCAGTCCAGCTATCTTTTTTCAGTCTAACTTTCAGGTCTGTCCGACTCTCATGTTTCAGTCCTGCTTTCAGGTCAATCCGGCCCTCATGTTTCAGTCCCGCTTTCAGGTCAATCCGGCTCTCATGTTTCAGTTCCACTTTCAGGTCAGTCCGGCTCTCAGGTTAGTTCAGCTGTCTTGTTTCAGCCCTGTCTCAGATCAGTCCAGCTCTCTTTTTTCAGTGCAACTTTCAGGTCAGTCCGGCTCTCATGTTTCAGTCCCGCTTTCAGGTCAGCCCAGCTCTCATATTTCAGTTCCACTTTCAGGTCAGTCCAGCTCTCATCTTTCAGTCTCGTTTTCAGGTCAGTCCGGCTCTCATGTTTCAGTTCCACTTTCAGGTCAGTCCAGCTCTCGCGTTTCAGTCCTGCTCTCAGATCAGTCCAGCTCTCTTTTTTCAGTTAAACTTTCAGGTCAGTTCGGCTCTCATGTTTCAGTCCCGCTTTCAGGTCAGTCCGGCTCTCTTGTCTAATTTTGATAATAAAATATCTGTGGATTACACGAATTGTGTGCTACATTAAATTTCCAATTACCGATATGAGAGACCTCCGGTTTAGTTTGACCAAAAGGTATTCGATCATCGGCCTCGCTCATAAATATTATATGTTGTTATATACATAATAAACTTAAGAAAAAAACGATAAACAAAACTTAATGTTATGTAGTTTGTTGAATTTATTTTTTGAAACGACATGTATTTATGTATATATGCATAAATAATACATATTATGGGTATAAACTTCTATGCGATCGGCGAACGCTACCGCGGGGCTACCGACCGAATTCGTAAACAAGTCAGTGTATCGTATTAAATGAAACTGAAAACATACAGGTTTGAATGTCTATTATCAATTTGATTTAATAAGTATAATTAAGTATGTTTTGTTTTAACAGACACTGAATTTAGAATTGTTTATACATCGGGTTCAGTTACAGCCGTACAATCAGTATAACTTAATGTAACTACGCAGCTTGTGTAAAAAGAATAGCTAAATGAACATCAATTAATAAATATATTATGACATATTTATTAATGATGGGTGGATGTCAAAAAAAAAAAAAGTACAAAAACTGATAACGGGAGCGAGGTAATTAACACTTGGGAAATTTGACAAGTATCGGAAAAAAATGCAAAGTTTTTTTTCAATTTTTTTATTTATTTATTTATTTTTTAAATTGAAATAAAACAATCATAATGTTGTTCAAAATTGTATTACAAAATAAATAATATTTTTGTATTGATTTTATTTGATCAAGATGTTGTTTGCTATAGTTTATTAATAATAATTATGTTTACGGCCGCCTACTATCAGTTTGCTGTCAAAAGTGACAGCGACCAGTGTATTAATATTTTATGTTATTCTCACTGTGATAAATCTCATTAAAATAATTATACTTCGCTTGTATTACATATACAAATTTTATAAGTGAAAAAAATATAATTGATGGATTCTTTAAACATAATTGGATATTTTAAGAGGTACACTAAAGTAATAAAAAGTATAATACATGATTGTTCTATTGAACAATCTTTCCAAGTACAATAAAAGACAATTATAGATAAAGTGCAGTCAGTGACACCGAAACTCTTTTACATGCGTACTTAGCTGATGATAACAGGTGGGTGGATTCTTTTTAATAAATCATCTTGTATTAGTATTAATGCTATTTGAGTAGAATGTTAATCGATCTATGTACTAATTCCTATACGACTTTATAACTCAGAGTCATAACATTTAAGCAGCGCCCCACTTATGAATTTTGGGGCTAATTTTTTGGCGAGCTACCGCAACCTAAATTATAAATTCAGGTGATTTTGCTTTATTGTTTTTTATATTAAATTTATGTTTAAGATTATAAATAAATTATACCATAAGTCTAAAAGTAATTATTTAATATTGATTTAAATTTATATTTATATAAATATAACGCATATGATGAGGGCTCCTAATTATAACGGCGCCTGCTGGAGCTACAGCCCCCTAGCATCCTTTAAGTAGGGCTCTGCTCACAAAGTTACAACACATACAATTAATGTGAAGTCACTTAAAAAAAATATACGTATAATAGTCGATAATCGTGAAAAAATTATGACGACTGCATCTCAATGATTGTCACTTTATTCGAGTTACAATTATAAACAGATTCAAGACTTAGTGGCATTTAATTTAATTTCTAATTTAAACAAATGATAATTATTTACTCATAATTTGTGATTGTCCAGTATTAATTAGTAAACATATTACTATTATATAAAGTAGACGAGATCGGATTAACATTTACTTAACGATTAAATGAATAAATCACACATTACAATAAAAAAACGTTTACCAATTATTTATGTGTTGATAATGTTTTGTACACTGACAGCATAATATCTTATTTATTATTTTATTAAACTATGATCGAAAATAAAAAAATATCTTTACAAAAGATGACGAATACAACAATAAATAGATAGGTACAAAGTTATCGACGATGCTCAATTTGTAATTAGATTAAATCAACCCTTATATTATGCAATCAGACGTCAGAATGTATTAATAAAGGAAGTATTTAATAATCACTTCCCATCGAGTTGAATATCCCTTTGATTTGTCTCGACGTTATCGTCATCGTCGTCGTTGTTTTCGTTTAGCCGTTGTCTGAAAGCTTTGTACTTGTAATTATAACTCAAATAAGCCAATAACAAAGTGTCTGCCAGCATAAGTCCGGAGAAAAATAGATATTCATGTACCTGAAATACGATGCATTATATAATTGTGTACAGTAAGTCAGCCTTGTAAAAGATATACTTTTCAAAAGTATTCAAGTACAGGCACATTCGCGTATTTTGAAAAGTATTATTACAAAAATAATATACTATTCTATTATAGTATCATACACACTTAAGTTTTTTTGCGGGTTAAAATTAAAAAAAGAAACGTATAAACTGCATGAAAGGGAAAAGTATTTGCAAATTAGATTATTTGATTTTATATACAGATATTTAAAAAAATTATTTAAAATTTTTTGTCCGTGTAAGTTCTTTTTTTAAAAGCATTTAAATACTTCTGCTCAAATATTTTTACTCGAGTAGGTATATAAATTAGAAAACCGCAGTAAGTGCATTAACTTTTTTAGACGAAGAAATAATCACCGTCAACGGGGACGAATAAAATAATATTATGTTCTCACTTGTTTGCGAAAGGACAGAGCCGAAACAAAGACGACCACTAGATTTCCGATCGCCTGAGTCATCGAGTAACAGGCCGCTACGAACGATTTTATTCTGGGCGGCGCCTGCGTAAATAGGAATAAATTATTATTATTATTATTATTATTTATTAGTGATGCAGACAATATAATAATATTTTTGTCACGTCTGCTCTGAATGTTTAGTTTTCGATGATGGTTGAAGCACAGAATAAATAAATCAGAATGGACACTGATAAGGAATTATACGAGAAGCCTAGATAAACCATGATAAACGAATTCGCTTTTTTTTTTTGGAGGCAATCAGTATATAACCATTATACGTGTACATAAAAATTATTATCTTCCTTCAAAAAAATGGCCGATAAATATTGTAATCATTTCGCAGTATCCAGAGCCTGGTCGAACTATCGGAAAGCCACCCCTTTCCGTCCGGCGGGCGGTAGAGTGCACTTTCCCACGGGAATCCCTGCAGTGCCATGCTGTAAGCTGGAAATCCCAAAAAGTTCTGGGCATATGTCCTGCACGACCAGACGCCGACATCTATACCACGGTCCTTGCAAAACACGAATTTTCGGTTACCCACGTCTTACTCCCGTATTATTAATATAACCTCTTCCTTGCACAAACATTTTTCTTTAGTGAAATTGTTTTCGCAGACTAGTCTGGTTGTTGCATTGATCCCTGCATTACGCCTTCGCCGTGATCGACCTAACGCAGAGGCGTGCCAAAAAATAATTTATGGCATGTACGGGAAGGCAATTTCAGTGTTGGGCAGCCCTCGCTGGAATAGCTGCTCCCACTGTTACGACCGCCCTCGCCGCGCACAATATAATATTTTTGTCGTGCGAGCAAAACCGACCGATACGATGTATCAGCGTTTTAACGGGCGTTTTAGATCGAGCACGTGCATTATTGTTGTTGTTGTTATTATTATTATTATTATTAGCGCCATAAAAACCGATCGTCTTCCTACGGATATTATCGTCGCCGCCGCCTTCGACATAATAATGTATAGTTATAACGATATAATATTATTATGATATTGCACGTGCGTCCGTCCAATTAACGGATAGACGGCGCCGGAATTATTGCGTGCGCGTGTTGACTTACTTCGGTAAACGAAAATTGAATCGTCGTGGCGATAAAAATCACGTCCGCTACAATCATACACACGTATTGGGGTGTCTGCCATAAAATGTGCAAGTAGTTGCCCTCGTCCGTAGCGTACAATTTCGATTCCTATAAATGCCTCGACTGTGATGAAACAATTACAATATTAATTCGCCCCCAAATAATTTAAGTCTTTCGTAGTTTGATTTATCATCAAATGGTTTTACCGGGCCGTGGTTGTCGTCGTCGCCCCGTCGTACGACGAGTGTATATATCGTCGCCGGCATGAGACTTATGTCCGAGGAGATCAGTCCTCCGGCGTTCACTAAATTATATCTAAAAAATAAAAATAAAATTAACTAGGGTTTTGAAGGACGATAGAGACGTCCTAAAATTCAAAATCCAGCGTCTTATACAAAAAGTTTTCAAGTACATGTACAGATACCTCCGTTGATTTTGAAATGTATATATAAAATAGGTATTTGCATACTCAGCAAAAAAGATATTTGAGTACAAATACGAATATTTAAAAAAAGTATACTTTCAAATACTTTAAAATCTTTTATAAAATAGCGACTGAACCGATTTTCGTGTTTTATGTTAACTTTATAGAGTATTTTACCCCGTATCATTTAGTGGGACTTAAAAATTCACAACTATTTTCTTTGACAAAGTATTTTCGGCTGAGTATAATAAAAACAAAGTAAAAATCATTTATTATCATACATTATACATTCTAAATTTTTATTTTTATTTTACGTGATCAAAATTAAAATAGAAAATATTTAAACTAAAAAGAATTATTAAAGAATTTGAAAAATAGTATTTGATTTTAAATACAGATATTTTGAGGAAGTGAGTATATTTAAACGTACTTATTCAAAAGTATATTTGAATACTTTTACTCTAGTACTTTACAAATGGCTGACACTTACCTTCCGAATGGCATCTGTTTGAAATTTTCGTTTGCAAACGAAGATATGTTGTACGACAAGTGATTTTTCCCGGCGGCCACGAGCTCAAGAGATTCGTCCTTATTGATATCGGTGCCGATTACGATTCTGAAAAAAAAAAATAGAATGTATCGGTCGTCAAAGAGACAAACTGTACATCTATATCACTGGTTATAATATGAATATATTACCCACCTCAGATTCGGATGGCCATTTTTAGGCTTTATGAAATCGTCGTAATGATTGATACGTCGTAATTGTACTTCTTTATTTACAGAGCTGGACGTTAAAAAATACGATATTGACTAGAAAATCGAAAATAAATACATTTTCATCGTGCAAGACTATACACCATAGTAATATTGATTAGAGCAATAAATTGTAGAAGTCAGACAACATAATATCCCGGTTTGTGGAATTAGTTGTTTAATGTACTGAAAAACTTACAAAACTAATTTCGATTCTTAGCTGTTGCTTAAATAACTTTGACTCCAAGAGTAATTTAATGCGTATAATTTAACCAACCAAATTCTATCTGCATAAAAAATATCCCAAAAATCTAGACAGAACATTTTTTTAAAAAACAATTTGAAAATTCAAAATGTTGTATATTTATTTACGATTGGCTGTGTTTTTATTAATTTAAATTAAGTTTGTAGCTTCGGGTTTGGAGAAGAAATTTAATCAAATCCAGTCTAGACCTTAAATTGGATAAAATATTATCATGCTATTATTGTTGTATAAAAATAAACCATAAGCACTCGTATAAATACAATATAAAAAAAAAAAAAAATACAGTACAATACAATACGTTTAAAATAAAATATTATTCATCGTACTCCGAGTTTAAAAAATGTTTTTAATAAATAGTATATACTATAAAAATTAACCGAACTTTGTTTATAATCGTTTAAAAAATACGTTGATTAGTTGCAAGTGTACACAACTCTTTCCTCGGTCTGAACTGTGTACCAATAATGAAACCAAAATATCAGACAGGCATACAAATTTTAATGTAGAAGAGTGTAAATAGTTGCAGCACACATGTACCGTTAATAGGACTTCGTATCCGTATGGGTTGCGTCCGTTTTACACACGTACGACATAGGTAGCAAATTTTCGTTCACCAGTATCAATAGAGTGTGCTGTTAGTTTTGATATTACAGTGAACTAACGTATAGTCAAACTTTTAGGAAGATTATATTATCTAGGGTACAACGTAGGCTCATCTTATTATTTTTAAGTAACTTATGGCCTTTTTTACAATTTTTGGCCATTTTAAAATGATCATAATTTACTCGAAAATAATAATATCAATGAAAGTTTACGTAGTGCCATAGATAATAATCTTATATTTAAATTTTATGTGGTGAGTAAATTCATTCTAATTTTAAAAATAACAGAGTAAAATAGATTAATGTAAAATACGATATGCTGTACGTTTGTAAGACACACATGCCCGTGCCACGTCCTCTTCGCCGATATAAACATCAAACGAGTGTAAAATTATTAGGAATTTCGAAAAACTTTGGACGATCGTTCAGAAAAGTTACATAAAAAGTCTTGATATTTTTAGTTTTATCCGAGCAAATTATCTACACGCAGACAACTTGCTAAATAGTTTAAAATAACATAGAAGCGAATAGACAATTCCAACAATATATTATGCTGTAATGCTGTATTCTCATACCTCTCCTCTGGATACGGTCAGGTTAGTGTCCAGATTGTCGTAGTTAACGTACGAATCACAGGATTCGTTCAATTTCAGCCTTATGTTTACGACGCCATCGTCGGAACTCGGAGTGTACCTGAACTTGGCCGAGCCCAGCGGATCGATATCGTTGTTGCTCACCAACTCCAGCGACGAACCCAACACGCGAGCGTTACAATCGAAGCCGTTATAAACAACGAACTGTCCCTCGGTAGTGGGTATCACAGTGCTGTTGCCCTTGAACGAGAATCGGTAAAGTCACAACATTATTATTATTGTTTGTCGGGGTATCTACCTAACCGTTTGGTTTCAAATCTCGACGGGGGCGAGAAAAAAAAAATTTGAGTCATCGAGGTTCGACTGTACTATAGCGATATTATTATATTGTGTTGTTCGTTCGGAAGGAGCAACAGTTATGCGCATGAACTGCATTATGCGATTGCAATTATTGTGCAGGTCATTATTGTAACGGTACTCACTAATAGTTTGTACTGCAGAATGGCGGCGAACAGAAAGGCCAGCACGGCCATGGAACAGCTGAATATGAGCTTCTGCAGCGGCCGCCGGATGCCGAACTTGGCCAGGAACGGGTATAGGACGTGGTCGAACGACAGGGTCAACAGGAGCGCGAACAGCGGGTGAATGGTTTGCATCTGGTCGGGTTTGATCTCCCAACCGATGCCGTCCAACTTACCGTCCATCAACGTCGCTTGCAACGTCCACCGCGAACCCTGCGCGTCGAATACCACAAAAACATAACCACGGTATCATATCGCACGCCCTCACATCCGTGTACCGGAATCTCACTTGTTGTTCGTAGAGCGCCCAAAACACCGGATACGCGATGAACGTGTACAGCACTTCCAGCGCCGCCTTCGTGTCCGACACTTCGGTTTTCGAGTACTTGTTTCTCGCGAGATCCAGCCAATGACCGTCGTCGTTGGAAGACGACGAAACGATACTTTTGCGAACGCCGTACTATTAGCAATGGCATGAACAAATACGGAGTCAATGTGTGCGTATATATCGGGTCACTAAATGTTAACGGCGTGCATACAGTGCACAGATATATAAACTTACATAAATGCAGTCAAAAGTCTTGAAGATCACGTGATTCTCCGGTTTCTTTTTCACTTACAAATTTCTTCCGAGAATAAAAATGACTGAAAAGTTTAGAAATTGGATGACGGTGAAAACAAAATACAAAACGATATTTAAAAACGAACATTCAAATTTTTAATTACTTATTATGTAACTATATATTATACGAATAATATTTGCCGACCAGTACATAATATTGATATTTCAAAATATTGTGAAATATCTAAAAAAATGCGGTACGCCAACACTATATACGAAAGTGTGGATGAACTGCAGCGGGAAAGTCTCAAATATTTTCTCGGAATCTCATAAAATACATTAACAATCGATAATAATCATTACCTACTGCCGTTATCATGAGCAGTGACAGTACGCCAAACGCCAGTGGATAGCACGTGTCCCTTCCAAAGCACTGTGCGCTTTTCCGTAGCTCGGGTGCTAAAAACGTCGATATCAACGATCCAACGTAAATCGCCGTTATAAATCTGTTGAAAAATGTTGAAAGTTGATCTTGTTGCTCTGGCAATTGGAATTGATCGCCGCCGAACGTGCAAGCGCACGGTTTTATGCCGCCCGTTCCCAACGCAATACATATTAAACCGACGATGGCAATGACTCTAAATTATATAAATCAATCAGTCACTGCAGCATTATCGGCATTGAATTTTAAATGTGTTTTCGAAAAGAAAATTTAGTGCCGGCAACCTTTGAGTGTATTCACTCGTCAATCGCCATCGCAGTCCGACTCTAATGATGACTTAATAAAATCGTATCCAAAATACTATTTTACAACACACCCACACACACAATTGAATACGTGTACAATAACAAAATATAATTTTAGGTATAATTACGTGCACCGTATAGTTTCAAAGCAGATCACTCGCTACTACATTATTTTCCATTTTTTCCCTCATTACACATAATTTTAATTTTTATATGCTTTCCACAGTTTTAAATTATAATACTTATTATGTTGTATCTTAGTTTTCTTGAGAAAAATATAAAACACTACAAAATATTTAAAACCACCATTTATGTTTTCAAGAGGTAAGACTGAGGATGGTTTGATATTTGTCTGTTATCGCTCTGCCTCCGCCGAAAAAAAGCACCAAAGAATAAAGAACAAAAATGAAAAAAAATATTAAATGCTTGTGTGTATAATATTATGCAATATTTTTTTAATTTTTAATTTTTAATTTTTATATGGTTTGTAATGCTTTTATTAATTAATAAATTTAACTATCTAGTGGTATATTATAATATAGAGTAAAATAACTTTTTATTACTGGAAATTAAATTCCCTACGTAGACTTTTTCATACGTTCGTGCTTTTATCTTTATGCGTTACTATTTGAGCGAACAACATTCAGTCTGTTGTCAGTCATCAATGTCCTAACGAGTTACAAATTATTTTTTTTATCCTGGTGTTAATTTTTAGAAATTAAATTAGACTAAAAACATTGTGTGAAGATTACAAAAACGGTAAAATGTTTTTAACTGCCGTATCACACGCAATAGGCTATCATTAATTTAGTGTTTCATACCAGTGTTGTTAGTGATTAATAATTATAATTTGATATTATACATTTTTTTTTATGATATTAAATTTAATTATTTACAATTTTAAAATTTTAGTTCTTTTTTCAAGTGTTCTTTTTCGTTAGTCCTTTTTACCACCCACCAAAGTGTTTACAATTGATCACCCCACCACCGTACGGCCAGCAGTTTTCAATTTAAAATTTGAATATTCATGAATTCATGATCGATAATTCTCTGTATATTTATAATATTTTAAGTGTATTAGATTAGGCTACCATAATAATATTATGATATGTATCTTATAGATGCACTGTAAATACCACTTCTTATAATATTTGAAAATGTATTTTATTATATCATAATATTTAAGTAATACGTGGCAAGCTTGTCGCCATAATATTTTGTATGTGTAATTTAAATCTTACAAAAGTTATTTGCTTATTTTTTTAAATATTGTTAAAAATACAATTTAATGAGTTTTTTCTGTAATATTTAATATTGTAGTCATTCAATTTTTACAATATGGATGTTAAAACAAATAAAATTTGTGACGTTTCTTTAGAAAACTGTTGTATTTTTTTAAGTGTAATAATTATTATGATTTATGAAATATTAATCATTTAATCGTTAACTGCTATGCAGCTATTAATATTGTAAACAAATTATTATTTTTATTTACTTTTATTTGAAAGTTTTGGGTACACAAAAAATATCACCATAGTACGGGTCACCTGGCGGTGTTGTAATAAATTGTATACGGTGCAGTGGCGGTGCGATAACAAACAAACACCGACAGTTTTTTCCGAGTTTATAATATATTTCCTCCGTCGATTTTTAGTTTCTTTGACCACCGTGCATGTACGATGATAAATCAACTTAATGTCAAGCCAATATGCAAATAATAGTAACGCATTTAATTAGGTTGGCAAAAAATAATTAAAAATGAATCATAATCATAGATTCAAATCGTAGAAGAAATTCGACTGATCTAATGAATATTTAAAGCGGTTCAATATTATAAAGTATGTTTACCTTTGACTGTCGAGAGTGAAATTGTTGGCCATCGAAGCTCCAGTGAGGATGACGTTTCCCAGAGCATAGACTATCGACAGTCGTATCATGGTTCTGCACAAACGATAAAAAAAATTTAAAATCACGGACACACAAACATGAATAGGTATATTGAATTAATATAGATGTGATTACTGTTGATCGTGCTTACTTAAATTTTCCCCAGTAAGAGTCGGCCAATATAGCACCGAACAATGGCATGAAATACGACACAAATATAAAACCATGGTAGATCATTATCGACTCATCGTCGGTATAATTTAATATCGATGTCAGGTACAACACCAGGATAGCTGAAAACAAAAACACGAAAATGTATAGAATGTCTTATGTTTTTGTCGACTGTAATAATGTAGATAATATGTCAGTGATAAGTAATATAATGTGTATCATGTATGAACAGTGAAATAAATTACATTAATATCGTGTTAGTCGATTCGAACCGAAAGATGCTCTTTTGACAGGTTACATTGGTAATCGTGTATTATGATATACTTTTTTAAGCGTATACCTAGTACAAATAATATATAAAATAATGTAAAAATGAATAACGTCCGATCCCAAGGAAATTGTTTCGCGTTGAGTTTATTCCGTCGCAATTTCGTAGAAACCTATTGACATTTCCACTTATATTTTCTAAGATAAAATAATTTTAAAATAGTGTACAAGAGCAAATTGGTTAAATCCGGCGATATTTATTTCGTTTTCTTTCCCACGTCTATATAGGTACACTTTATTTACGTTGCGTCTTTAACTTTACAAACTGTATATAATTCATTTTCTTACTTCTAAGTCCATAGTAGTTAAACCGTTCGCACAGTTCATCACATACGATAAACCAAACAGATTTTGGAGATTTCTATAACATGAAATAAAATAATAATTCAATTTAATCAAACATAATGATATGTCACAGTCATTGTATTTTCAAATATCACATTTAAGTATTTAACAAAATAAAAACATAATATAGGTACTATTTTATAAAATTCATGCATATTTACTAATAATATATACCTATAACATAATATCTGACACTGTGACACGTAGCAAAATTGTTTTAATTTAAATATTGCCATCCTTTCAATAAATAATAATGAAAAAAAAAAATACAGGATTCCATCAGTAAAATAATGTTGGTATTTCAATTTTACCGGTATAGGAAAACCTGATATACATATTTTTAGCAAGTACCTGCCTCTACAAAAATGTAATTTAATTCACATAATACGTGTTGTAAATATTATAATTTTATCTAAACTCATCGAACGGAAATTAATATAAAAACGGTCGTGAAAGCTTTATTTATCTGTAATCTCTGCAAAAATAAATTATACAGGCAACGCCGAAGAAAGCTGGAACATCTGTTTCTTCGATACTGCTGCTCAGATGTCACTGTATGATGTTCTCACGACATCCTCTGTTATAAAGGATTTTTTTAGTTTTCAAACGATTTCCCCGATTCCACTATATTGCAGGATGTATACGAAAATAATCAAACGTGACGAGCGGTGTGGTTGATGTTTGCCAAGAAGGGATCCATTCGTAGTAACATTGATTATAAATAATAGTATCAACGGTAATAATAATCGCGTATCTCAAAAAAAAAAAAACAAAAATGGAAACAAAAAGTACAGTAATATATTAAGTGATATTCAAGGTCATTCGAGATCAATAATAAAAAAATTAAATTAAATAAACCGCAGACATTTCAGGATGACGGAGTACCTGCAGCCTGTATCAATAGTATTACGAACCCATACGTAGTTTTCAATAATCAATAGGTAGTATTTCTTTTTTCTCATCTTAGGGTAGAAAAAAAAATGATATTAATATATTCTCCGCTGCGCGGAAAAACAATAATCTTCACGATAATGGAATCATATCTTGTTGCACACTTTATTCACGGTTTGAGGTTTCCCCGGAAACTTGACGTAGGTCGCAACAATTTTTACTCGGCCACGATTGCGAAAAAATCGACGAGCTTGCTATAATATGGTAACGTAATTATGGTTTATGCATCGGTAGCAATTCGTCAGAAAACAAAAATCGATTTTTTAATGTTCAAGTTTATAGATGACAACCACTAAACCATACACGCATTGCCCTCAACAGTTTTATAATATATAAACATGGATATTAATACCTACTTATAAACTAATAATATGCATAGGTAGTGTTTGTTATTTCACTTTTGTTTAATACTCGACCAACGAGTTCTCTATATTATATTAATAATCAAGTGTCTAAACATTCTAAATTATAATTTTATGAAATCGAACGAACAATTCAATATTATACTACGTAGTAAATTAAAATTTTAACCGGGCATATTATTATCAAGTTTTAGATTCCAGTATTAACACTGTAATGTAAAAGATTAAATAGGAATATTCAATATCGGTCTATTATAGTCGTCAGTGTTTCTTTATATTTTGTTCGACAAAGCTAAATCAGCTATTGGAGACTGGTGCACGCCCTCATATTAGTTATTAAAAAAAACATTAAGTTAAGGCAATCAAAAACATGTCGATAATATTATGTAAAAATAAAAAATGAAACAGTACCTAACTGCAGAGCACTGTGTGCCCAAAAATATTAATGCATATATATATATATATAGCCATCATATTCGGGTGATTTTTATGAATAATATCCATTAATGCGCACACATCATAAGCAACAACCTCGTGTTTGCATACTGTTATCAAAGTTGGAAATGTTAATTACTGTTTACATAGGGTTATATTTTAATTATTATGTGATTTTTCAAAAAAAAAAAAAAAGAAGAAAAAGAAGATTCTTATATTATACAGGTACCCTAGAAAATATTAACATTTTAAACAAGGTCCAATTTTGAACACGATCAACTAAATTGGTATTCGTTTAGTATGAGACCTACCAGACCGCGTGACCTACATCGTATTGGTGACGGGCATTCGTCTAGGATTTTTAGTCGAATTGAAAATCAAAAAAATATGTGATTTTATCGTTATTAATTGATTACAGGAATAGAAGTGTAAAATAATACAGGACTACATTTAATAATGTCAAAATGTCAAACAAAATATAAATTAAAAAAAAAAAAAAATACACGAATATTGACAAAATATGTAAGCACACGTTACAGCAACACGTCGAATTTATCAAAAAAATGTCATAAAATTATTGTATTTAAAAAAAAAGAAAGTCTAGCAAATAGCAACACACTCCATTATTTGTATATCACTTGGAAAAATGTGAAAAATGTATCCACGCCTGTTCGTCAGATCGATACGCTGTCTGCACGTAATTACAGATAATATTGTCTTGGCGTAGGTCACACGCTCAACTCTCGATTTCCTCTCCGCGGGTCGCATACTAAACGCATGCCACTAAGTTTGTGTCGTACATCAACGTGCTCGTTTCCACGAGGTATTATCAGAGTTCGAAAAGTCGACCGATAGTACCTATGCCGTTTTCATGGGGGGGGGGGGGCTCTCGTGTCAGAAGTGCTTCGCGATTATTCAAATGAAAAAAAGAAAAGAAGAAGAAGAAGACGCTCGCACTGCCGACGCGATACGACCCAGCAGATATCAACGTTTTTTTTTTTTTTTCAAACAATAACAGATACGATTTTGAACACGATCGACTAAATTTATGTCGAGTACCCGATTTGAATATTTATTTCGCGTCGGGCGTGATCGTTGTTTTTGGTATTGCGCCGAACGGCGGCGGCGCGCAATTAGTCTGTGAGTAATTAATTCTGTACTTGGCCGGCGGGCGATCGAAAACGGTCGCTCGCCCGTGTGCGACAGAAAAATGCAAATTGCAATATCGCACAATAGGTGTATGCACCCGCCGGCGTATTATGCACACGCGCATTCGTCGTCGGAACGCCGCCGAGAACGGCCAAACGGCTCCAAATCCCTTGGACTTTTAAAAGTCGGCATAAATATTTGATCGGCGCGGTCGTGAAACGCGCGCTGCTCGACGCCGCGGCACTCTCGCACCGGGGGGGGGTGAGGGGGGGGGGGGGGGGGTGCGTATTAAAAGACAAGCGTTATTGAGCACACACCGCACGCAGCTGATACGCCTCCGATAATCTCTATGCCCACACTTTCGCGCGCGTTATTGCACGATAATATACACGGCATGCGGGCTTAAAAAATAATTACACAAACGGTAAAAAAGAAAAAAAAAATACAAATACAAACACAAATTCACGTCAACATTATAATTATAATATATCATAATAACGTGTATACAATACTTGCCAATTTCTTCGCTGGCGGTTCCATCCCGTCGCGGCCTACGCCGTCACTGCGGCAATAGTTTACTACTTACAATATTATTGTTGAAATACGATTAGGTAGGTTCCTGCGAGTCGAGACAATAATAAGCGTGTTGTATTGCGAAACGGTGTGTATTATTATAATAGTAAACGGCGGCGGCGGCGGCGGCGGAATTGACGCGTCGTTCAACTCGGGTGACTATATAACAGCGTATATATCGGACGCGACAATACAACGTTTTAATATACGACAGCAGTCGTGATAATTGTTTTATTCCGCACGAGGACCCGATTCGAGTGTTTAAAAAAAAATTTTATTTGTATTTTATCACATCTTCGAGGGAAATCGAGTGTGTATTATAATATATATATGGGTACACCGCATTCCCTATCTATATTTTTTATTATTATTATTACTATTATTATTATTAGCCGGCGCCGATAGCACACGTACCTGTACCCACACACACACACTAAACACACACACACACACACACGTGTTAACCGGTAGAATAATACTCGAATACTGAACTTAATAATAATATCGTTGGTATATAGTCAAATCCCATCCGAATGAACGACCAACAGAGCATCAAACCGGCGCGATAATGATGATAATATAATATAATATTTTATTTTGTTATATAACAAAATAGTGTGTCTTAAATACGAAATCTGCTTTCCACTGTTGTAACGCGTTTTAGTAACACCCCCCCACCAGTCGTACCGGACCGACGGCATTCCTATAATATATATATATATATAATATAATAGTAATAATATTAATAATATTGTCATGCAAATACACAAACGCTGTAGGCGCCGATCCCACATCATTGTATATAGGCTCTAAACAAGTATACACGGACACAGGTAAGTATCGTCCAACTCTATGAACGTGAAATCCTTTCTTTGTAACGGCTAAACTCGGAAACCGCCCGTGCGATCATCTTGATTTTTTTTTTTTTAAACGATAGAGTAGACAGGTATATATAATCCTGCAAGGCCGGCCGGGTTGACGATATTTTTTAAATCGTCATATATTCGTTAAACTCAAATCCAAATCAAGCTAATAGTCAAAAGTTAATCCGAAATTGTCAATCAATTGAATTGAGTCAACAACAGTTGACCGACATTTAATATTAACTTTCTAACTCGAGACAAGTTAGTTAAAAAAAAATGAGTTTCTTGTTTTCGTATATGGGTAAAATAAAAATAATCGGTTCCTAAAATTGTTCACCTTATTGGACCAAAGAACTATTATTATTTTATGTATTTCAAATGGTAACAGTACAAATTGTTTTAGCGTACTTATAACTCATAAAACGTGTGCCAGCAATTTTTATTCCCACAATAGTTCATATAATTTTTAAAAAAAATGTATACTTTTAATAAATAAAAAAAATTCATATGTATACACATTTGAATTTGTATTTATTGTTTTTGTGCAAATATTCCTGAGTATTAATTGTTTATTATTTTCAATTTTATAATAATAAAGTAACATTATAAACTTTGGTTTAAATTATACATTTAAATTGTATAAATATAATAAAATATATATTCTTATATAGCTAAAAGTCTAAAACTCCCTTGTAGACACAATAATAGGTTGGTAATTAAATATAAAAAACGATATTCTATCGTAGCTATAGGCACAATCTTAATGTATTATGTTGCAAACTCTGTTAATGTAACACAACGACGATCACTTACAGTCACAATAATATACGTCTTATTTGTGCACGAAAAAAAAAACAATATTGTTTTTTTAAAATTTAAACGGCTGCCGTGATATTGCATTACCCACTATAGCAATATAATTAGTACAAATATTGGGTACGAGTTTGTTTTCGAACAAATTTTTGGCACCGACGACGTCTGGCAGAACGAGTAGTTAAATTAACATATATATATAGTCATGTCCATTGTCCGTGCTCGACTCACAATATTTTCTAATATTTTTTGCAACGTCGTCGAAACCTGTATAATATTATAAATCGTCGATATTCCACCGTGTTTTTTTGTTAATATCGGCAGGTAATATTATAATCGTTGTACTGCGTAGTTCATGTTACACGTTTTCGAAAAGTTTTTAACAGCCAGTGACGTACGGACGTCCCGACATTTTCACTCAAAGTTCACTGCGCGCTTACAACTTAAAGTGTTACGTTACCCCGTCGAGAATACAGTTACAGCGAAGATTCAACTCCAAAATCGATTCTACGATTACAACTTTAATAACTGAAATTTAAATCGAGAAAGTTCGACGATTGTAGTACTTGTAATTAGTTTTCCCGTATTATATTATTATTAATTTAGTCAATTTAATATATTGTTTACACGCCACATGGGCCGCTCCAGAAACCCGATCGGAGTGGGGGGGGGGGGGGGGGGGGGGGGGAGGGGGCGAGTCTTGATATTCAGGAAACTTGATGGTACAATATTTTTTTTTTTTTAAATGTAATTTTGATTTAAACAATTTACAATTTTTTAGAATTACGGGCTTCGGATCACTAGACCCCACTGGAGCCGCACTTGATTGTATTATAAAATAAGATAATATTATTTCAATTTTATTAGATTATTTGTAAGTATTGGGACGAGGATCTGAGCACAGAACTTGTTACATTATATAATGGATGGATCTGTCGTTTTCATATTGCTGTGATTTCTCGACTACATTCGTTTTCAACGTTTCCAGCTATTTTATTTTAATAATCGTCTACACTACGATAATTAATAGGAGGGGGTTTTGAAATAATAAAATATAAATAGAATAAACAGTAGTTTAACCCACACATCAATACAAAAGTCAAACTATAAAATTAAAAATATATAGTTACAATAAATGTGTTTGTTGTCGTAAACGGTATACCTGTATATTGTACATAAATAACAAAATAAATAAATACGTGCTATACTATGTTATACGGATAACATGTATTTTATTTGTTTTAAATGTAATTCATGCATAGGTTTTGTTTATAGATTTAATTGTTTATCTGACATTTTGTGTATAGAAAAATGTGTTAGTTATTTAGATGTCATCTCTAAAATTGTGACTATCTACATGGTACTATATCAATCATATTGCGAATTGGACTTACAGTCAGCATTAAAAATAAATAAATACATAAATAACATATTGGGAATTTTACCATGTATAAATGTGTGTATTAAGAATGTGTAAATGATTTGTTTCATCAGAAGAATTCAGTGTAATTATCTATTAATGCATTTGATAATTGTACGATCATAAATTCATTATTGATTGATAATAATTGCACTGTAATTGAAGTAATATTTTTTCAACTTTTGAGTTTTGTACTCACGTGAAACATGTCGATTCTATTTTAACAATTGACAGCAGCTTTCAAAATACACGAAACAGAGATTATGATTGAAATACAAATATTAAAGACAAACGATTGTTCATAGGCACAGGTATACAACCTATCCATGTGAATGGAAATCGTATGGTTTAAAACCATATTAAGTGCGTTAGTATAATACAAGTAGGAAATAATCCATTATGATCTATGATCACATGACACACATTATCCACATTTCGATAAGTTTAATTTGTGTAGTAAAATAAATTAAATCTATTTTGTTACGAGTACCTTCATTTTCGTCGCAATAATTGTTGTCAAGGTTTGTATAGTATAATAATATTATAGTAGCGTATAAAACATTCGACATTTAAATTAACTAATTAAAAAGGATTTAGGGGAAAGAATAGACACACACACGGATCATTATACTTTTTAGTACTAGGTACCTATTATGTATAAAACGCGGTTAATAATATTTTAAATCGGCTGTCAGGAATCGCATTTTGAATATTTCGATGAGCTTGTCGTACTATGTAGTTTGATCGTACAGTTGAAAAAATATAAAATCTACCATCTCGAATAAAACTGAAATGAACACTAGTATAGCGGTTGGTATGCATATAAATCGTTATCAAGTAAATAGACTGATTGACCAACTATAAATATTGTTGTTTTTGATAATATTATTCTACTATATGATTCTACTGCATTATACACAGTGTGTCGTCGAATTACCATGTACTCGGTACATTATGACATTGGAAAAAATCAAACTCATCGGTTTCGAACTGGGCTGTGGAATTATTAAACTTTAAATTACTTACCTAAAAATTACGATATTCTGCAGTCATCCAAATTATATAATAATCGCCGCCTGGGAATGAAAAGATTTTCAAGTAATCTTTGTAGTTATCGTTCGTGGGACCTTTTGTAAGTTCGAATAGGTAACTTTTTTCACCGTAAGTACAAAATTATCAAAATTTGACGCAGTATCAAAAAAGTTCCACTGAACACAACTTCACAGGCTATTTGATTTTACCGTAGTTATTAATTGAGTAAATCACAATCAACTGAAATATTTTTTTTTTTTATAGTTTAAACGTTAAACTCATCGGTATAGTTAAACTTTCTAATTTAAATTATTTTTTTGTGCGGTGATAGACCGTGGCATACAGACATTTTCAATTAGGGGGGGGGGGGTATTATAACTAATAATATATTTAAAATTTAAATGCATTTTGGTGGTATTAATCTATTACACTGCACCATAACCAAAAACATACCTATGATTTCCCAATCTTCCTTGATGATGAAAATTATTTTGTACCTGATATGGTACTTATAATAAAATAAGGTACGTGCATAAAGTAAATGGTAATAAATCTTCGATGACACTATGTTTTTATTACTCGAGTTATAATTATTGATATTTCGATAATCTGGTTACTTATTAGTTTGTCGATTATAAACATAGAGGTTGTAACAGACATAACCTGAAAAATTAAACAAATTTTGTTCTAATCAATATCTCAGCATTTTTTTTTTTTTTAATATTTTCGGAGAAGTTCAAAGTATAGCCAATGTGCAAACCTAATTTTTAGATACATTTTCGTGTATATTGAAGTGTAGGTAATAGTTTATTTTTTTTACAGTTTTTTTTTAATTCATCAATATTTTTTTGGAGTAAATTAATTTGATTTTTTTTTCAAAATATTCTTTTTGGAAATTTTCCAACATAAGAATGGTTTTTCAAACTGTTAATAATTATTTATGTAATTTTCATAATTTTTGTCATAACATGTTTAACTGTTATACATTTTTTTTTTCAGACCTTTCTGTTGCACCCTGTATAAGGCGTCAGCACTATCGTATAATTTACCTTTTACGCCTTATTATAAATTGTTCGGTAAAAATAAGAGTAGAAGAACAAGTGTTATTTATAGACGTCGATTATATTTTAATCTTTCGACCAGCTGATATAATATCGATCCACGTATTATCTGGTCGTGGACTATTAAAGTCCCATCGTCACGAAGAGGCCACGGCGATCATTCCCCGAGTACCTCCATGTGATAAAATATAATATTATAAGTTATTATAAATTTTAAATTCAACCATAATATATTCTATATCGCAGTGCAATAAACAGTCGTGTATTTATATAGCACCTATACTATAATAAAGCTTTATGATTTTTTGTTGAAGAATATTGTTTATACCTTTCGATGCGACGATCGAGTGTAATCGACCACCTATGTCGTATAGAAATTGTGAAAAAATCTATTCAAAACTTACGGTGTTAAAAGGGTATAATATTATTGGTAGACGAAGCAACGATGACAACCCGAACTATAATAGAATTTTTTTTACCTACAGTTTTACAAAAAAAAAAAAATGATCGAAACGTCTTCTCATCGGTCGATAGAATAAGAGTTCTACTGGTCGGAGACGCAACACAAGTCTAACAATTTAAGCGGGAAGGGCTGAAGCCAGACAGAATCGCGCTGGAGCTTTGCTTTCCGCATCTTCCTAATAAATGCCTATGATAAAAAATAACAAACAACAAAAAAGTTATTTTCGCTGTAGTTTCATATTTACGCATTTTACCAGTACAAATTAATGTGTTCAAGACTATTTAGTTTCAAAGTTTTCTCAAAAAATTTAAAGTCAAATATATTGTGTTTTATCAAGTTTTTAAAAAAGATCGGTACAAAATTTACTTTTCATTTTGACTGAATGGGGTTAACTGTTGTCTGAGGCATTCGAGTTATCCGAGATTCAAAAAATCGAGCATAATATACAACTTGACAACAAAATGTAAATACGCTTAATAGAACATCGAACATTAGAAAAATTACAAAAATTTCTTACGAATTTTGAAGCCATTGTTACTCACGTCCATGATTTCATTGGCATTGGGTGTGGGGTGTTTCGTGTAGCATTATTTTACTGTGAAATGTGCATCGCTAAGACCTATTATTTTGAACAATTGATACCATTCGAAGATAAATTTATCTCGAGCGGGCCAAGCCCTCTCACCTGTTGCTCTTGTGCGCCGATACCGCTGCCGTGTGTGATTATTATCTGTAATGCCATAAACCAAAAGACCGCTAGACTCGATGTGCTACAATAATAATGGTCGAAGACGGTAAACTTACTTTATATACCTGCCTAGGTACCTGGGTAAATCGTAGGTTTATACCTTGAAACCGTAAGCGATACGATCAAGCGATGTGTAAATTTAGTTTCGCGATAAGTAGTACCTGCACAACACAGCTATTGCTATAATATCAACCTATACGTTTATCTACTGCTCTGCTGTAAGGATCACGTCTATATATTATATACGCGTGGGAGGAAAGTGGTTTCCTTAAACAGTTACACCAAACTTAAATCTAAGTTTGATACAATAATATAATATAGCGACCGCTAAACAACAAATGATTAGATTATCTACATTAATATAATTATTCAATGATGAGTAGTGTGTATGTGAATATGTTTGTGTGTGTGTGTGTAGCCAGTCGATACACAAATGTGTCGGACTCGTGGTTTTGAAATTTGGCACACATAGGTAATCTTACACCCGAGGATGTGCAATCCGAAGCAATTTTTTTAATCTTGCATTTCAAAGAGGAGCTCAAGGAGGGATTTTCGTTCGGCTCTCGAATATATTTTTGTTTTTATGTAAGAGGGCACTACATTGGTAACAGAAAATAAAATAGTTACTTTAATTATTGCAGAATATAATTATTATACGCCTGTTATCTTGTATTTGGTCAAAACCACCCACAAATATAAAATGTTAAAAATAACATGAGTAAGGTAATGTTTACATTTAACGGAGTTTAAGACACCGCGCCGGGATAAATTCATTGGTATCATCAATTATTCTTCAAGGGCCACACCATGCAGGATCGCTAAAATTAATAAATGTATTTACCATATACTATTATAAAATAAAAGGCATAAAACGGACGACACTCATGCAAATTCATCACGGTTTAAAAGCAATTTTCATCAAATGTTTGTCTATAGATTCAGAAAGAAAATAGTTATTATGCGATTTGACATAATTTTAGACTCATAACATTTATACTTGGTCAAAACCACCCAAATAACAGATTTAAAAATCTGCGTGATGCTTATACATTTAACGAAGTTCAAAAAGAGGTAAATCCACGAGAATTGAATTCGTTAAGAGCACAACATTGTGAAGGATCAGCTAGTATTATAAATTATTATAATACACCGACAAAAAGTTGTCCTAAAAATATTACCGTCACACCGTCGGTTGAACGACTGTAATACCGCGAGTGTTCAATTATTAAAATAAGGCACTATGAGTGATATTTTTGATTCATTAAAAATTTTAATCCAAACATATTATGAAAAATATCATATAGCTATATAAATTGCACGAATGCTTTCACTTTGCGTTGATTGTATATTTGAATATGTCGATTTGAATAACAGTAAATTTTTCCAAAGTGATCTGAATTCTGGCGTGTACGAAAATGTGCCAATACTGCCTATACGTTACGCCGTTACAACAGCTAAGAAAAAATCTAACTTGATTGTTTTTCAGTTGTTTCCAACACTCCTATACTATTATTGAAAATCATCCACAAGATGAAAATTATAGAAGAGAATATAAAGGTATAATTTAATGAATATATTGTACATATATATTACTACAAATAAGTTGTCGATTGTAGTATACTTATGTATTTAATATTATGTTATTAGAACATAATTTATTGTCCTCGAAAATTAATGCTAAACTAATGTATTAAGTATGTACTAATGTGACAATGTGAGTAAAAAGTAGAATGACGTCGACACAGTTTTTTTAAATTAATTGAGAACTATAAATAATATAGTCACCAGTCATATCATAATTTATTTACAGTAGTTCAATTTTTGAAAAAAATATTGAAGTCCCAAATAATAAGATTTTCACACCTACTTCATAATGTCTTGTTTTGAATTGGACTGTTACACGATACAGTGAGGAACTCGTATCAGTTCAGTTCATTATTTTTTTTTTTTATATAAATTATTAGAAAGTAATAAAATATGTCTGTGATCAAAAGCGGTTCTAGACTAGATTGAGTATCCATAGAAATGTGTTGACTTACTAATATGGAATAAAAAATGTATATTTTTAGTTTTAAAAAGCTCACGATTATTTCACGATTATACAAATATAATGAATCAAGACTTTCGTAGGTTTTTCTGTTCCAAATCCAACCCATCTCTTGTCTATTGTTTATAACTAAAACGGCTTATTTTTTAAACAATACAATTCCATATAGTTATTATTTTTAAACAGATTAGCAAAGAAAAAAAAATTAAAAATGAAACATAAAATAGGTAGTTACATTAAAAAAAGATATTAAGTTATGTATATAATTGTTGCATTTAAAACCCGAAATCCGCCAAAATTGATTATGACTAGTTAAAATTAGAACTGACTACAAGTTTAAATGTCGAAATGGAAAAGGCTGATTTTTACTGAAATATGTAGACGTTAAAAATAAAACCTACAACGTGCTTGACTCTGGGCGATTGCGATACCTACAAATAATCTGCGAACAATATTTTTAATATTATAACTATGAATGAAATAAATTTTCGAGAAAATTCTGTAAATCTATTTTCACTAGATGACTAGTTTTAGTTTTTACCATTATATTTTAGACACGACTAGTTCTAACTTCAAAAAAGGTTAGTTAAAACTAGTTTCAACGACGAGGGTCCTGGTTGATTCTAGTTTTAACTAGTTGAAATCAGTTGTGACCAAAGGGGGCTGTAAAAACTAGTATTGACGGATTTCTGTACATAATATCTGTCGAAACTGTAACATATCCACATACATACATAATAATATATGTAATTTTATTTGTTGTTTCTAAAATAATATGTTATATATCAATAATAGGTTTCAAAATCCGTAATTAATATAACGGTGGGTTTTAAAACAATGCGGTCCTACAATGAATACCATTCTTCGAGTTCGGGCTTATTGTCAAAATAATTGAATATAACAGTGCTCAGTTGAAAACAGTAGTTTCGTCCTTTTTGTTTACGGCATGTGACATTGCGTCAGTCTCGTTGGCATTCTTGCTCCGATAAACCATACTGAAATAGGCCAATAACAACGTGTCGGCAAGCATGAGACCGGAGTAGAAGAGATATTCGTGTGCCTAGAACATAAACGATGTATAAAATAGACTATAAATATTATGAACCGCACATTATTCAATCGAAACAAATTATTCGCAGATACCTACCTGATTTTTAATCGATATTGCCGATATGATTACGACCAACAAATTTCCCAATGCCGTTGTCAGTAAGCTCACAGCAGATATGAACGACTTAATGTTCACCGGCGCCTGCATCGAATAAAAATAATAACAGTGTTATACAGTATAAGTACCAAACTCCATATTTTCGGTTACGTATTTTTAGACAATATGGGTCACAAATATTATTTAATCGACTCAGAGGTAGCTCTCAGCAGTGGACGGCTAGAACTTATTTTCATTGACTAAAATTTAATATTTTTAAAAATCGTCCAAACTACCAATTTCATCCATGGGTCAGCCACCCATTAATAGTGTTGTAGATCACGTGATTCAAATATATACATTATAACTACTTCCTTCGAGCCGCCACTGGCTCTCAGTAATCAGTATCAGTCTATCGATACAGACGAGTTATATCAAATAAATTTGAAAATCATAAAATTCGATACGTTTAAAACCATTAAAATCAGGTGCTTAAAAAATAATACAATAATAATTAAAATCGGATCCGACTATAGACAAATGGACTACAGAAAATGTCATAAAATTATTACGTCAAATTTAGATAAGACACATTTTACCTACCTCTATGAACGAAAATTCTAATGTCGTGACCACGAATATGACGTCTGCTATAATCATACACAAATATTGTGGTAGCTGCCATAGAATGTGAATATAGTTCCCTTCGTTCTCGGAAAATAACCGTGCATCCTATATAAACGCCTTTTCACATAACATTTGCTTGTAGTTCACAAGATATTAATTACAATATTCAGGTAGAGCATAATATAAACTTTTACCATTTTATTGCCGTTTCGTTGTAAAGTGAGCGTGTAAAACGTGGCAGGTTTTATGTCCATAGGTGGAATGGTCAATGGTTTTCCGTTGTACACTAAATTATATCTGTTAATATGGATAAGTCACGTTGAAATCAAATTATTTTTAATTCATAATTTTAGCGGTATGAACATGTACTTGGATACTTACTTCCCTACTTTAACGGCATTAAAGTTCATCCCTCGAAATAGAGAGAGAGGGTACGAGGTAAACGAGTTTTGATCTGCACTAGTCAATGTAATATTATCGTCAAAATCAAATGTGTAGTCGATCAAGATTCTAAAGTAATATGTTTTCGTATTTTAATTTGGATGGTATTGTATAATAGTGAAAAAAACAATATTTATAAATACACACCTTAAGTTAGGGTTTCCATATTTGTCTTTAACTAAACTGTCACTAACGCCAACGTGGTTTAATGTGATTGTGTTTGGATTTAAATTGACAAGGTGATAAGAATTCTCCTAACATTAAGCAAAAAAAAATATTATGATCAAATATTGGAAAAAGATAAAACCCATTATCATAATAATAATATGAAATTAATAGTTATAAATTAAATTTTTCCAACTTGACGTTCTCGTCGTAAACAAGACTTATCGTTGGTCATGATTATTTAAAAGTTTAAACTGATTTTCTCAGTTATGCTTTCGCGTGTTTTATTTTAGGTGTGTAATAATATCATTGATTTAAATACATCACAAAATATTTAATAGTATAATACTCATTGATCAATCAAATATACCCTTCTGATGAGGTAGAATAGCCTATTCATTATTTTATTATCTGTCACTTAATATTATTATGTTTGGTACTTAGTGCCATTGGTGAAAACGTATAATATGTTATATAAAATCAAAACATTTACCTCTCCCTCGATTATCGTCACGGTAGTGTCGAACTCGTAGTTTTCTGGTACAAACGAACACTCGGGTTCAAATTCTAATGTGACGAAGACGTCATCCCGTGACACTACTGTATGAGTAAGATTGATCATTTCTAGCGAATCGATGCGACCCTGCAAGTGTAACGTCCTCGAACGTACGAACACTTTGCAATCGAATCCGTTGTAAATGTTTAGGCGCCCTTGTCCAGGTGGTATCTCAGAGGTGTCTCCCTAAAAAGAATTCAGTATATATGATGTATGTGAATTGAAAAAATAATCGGACGCCCGTCTTACAAAAATTTTGAACTGCAGTAAGGCTGCGATGACAAATGCTGTGACGGCCAAGACACCGCTCAACGTGAGCTTTTGTAAAGGTTTCCGGACGCCAACTTTGGCGAGCAACGGATATAAGGCGACGTCGAAGAGAACGAGAAACGTCAGTCCGAACAATGGCACTAAGGTCTGCATTTGATCGGGTTTGATAGTCCAGTCTAAGAAGTCCAAGCGTCCATTCATCAGCATGGCCTGTAATGTCCACCGGGAACCCTGCGCGGCACAGGGGAAGTGACGTCACACAACAATACAGATTCATATCGATTTCATATAATTTATAGATTCTATCGTTACAATATGTACCGTAACAGGTGTTCGTACAGAGACCAAAACACCGGTAACGCTTCGAACACAATTATCACGTAATATTATATTGTCCTCGTATCTGCCCATTTGATGTTTTAACTCAGCCTTATCACTCTACTCTGTATTTCTTGTGTACCTATTTCATCTATACTTATATACACACGGTCCTGAATTTATTCCAATATCATACCGAAGAATATAGTTCGATCAAAAATGTCCTGGACAGCAGGAAGTTTTTTGTATTTTAAACGTGCGTCGAATACAATACTTGATCTGTCCTTTAACACATAACACAATATGATTCAATAGCTCACGACTACTATCCGATTACGGAGCCATTAGTTTTTTACACTATTATAGCTCGACAATTATTATGACGGAGCCATTATAGTTCATTAATTTGCATACGTTATTACAAAATGATTACGCATTTATCATATTATACCTGTTGTTCGTATAACGACCAAAACACCGGATAAGCCATGAACACGGTAATCACGTCCAGGGCTGTCCTCGTTTCTGATATTTCCGTTTCGGTGTACACGCCCTTTGCGTTTTCCAGCCAGTGCGATTGGCAAGGGACCCGCGAAGTCATCTTCGTTCGCAGCGCGTACTTGAATATTAAACATGAACATTTTAAGCGAATATCGAGAACACAGCGACAGCCGATTCTTCCGAAAACGTTTTTCACTCGTTTTTTGAAGAACGTTTGAAATTTTACTTACGAAAATGCAACCGAATGTCCTGGCGATGACGTTGTGTTCCGGTTTCTTCTTCACGTACATGTTTTTGCCAGACACGAATATCACTGCGGAATATGTTATTATAATACAATAGTACGGCAGCAGTTAATCGTGTTTGAGAGTTACAGGAGGATACATAAATCGTTGGAATGACTTATGACGAGGGCAATCATCGTGGGCGAGGAGGAGTTGAACGATTACTCGGTAAAGAGAAATGTTGTTTTATTTTCCTGGAATGCTCACGCCGTCGTGTTGAAGCAGATGGTGAAATGAATAAGTATACTTACATTTTGGCATGGGCGGAGTGTTGTCCCCCATCGTTATATTAATATGACGATAAAATGATGATAATTACCTATGGCAGTCAACATGAGCACTGCTGGCACACCGAAAGCCAACGGAAAACACGTGTCTCTGCCAAGACAATGTACGCTCTGTCTCAACTCGGGCGTCAGACACGTTGATAACAAAGCTCCAATGTTGATTGCGAACGTGAATTTGGTAGTGTAATGTAGCAGCTGTTTTTCTTGCTCGGGCAACCGGAATTGATCGCCACCGAACGTGAAAACGCACGGTTTTATGCCCCCCGTGCCGACGGATATTAAAAATAACCCGAGCAAAGCGATGATTCTAAAAACGAACCCAATAAGTCAATTAGTATAGAAAAATGTGTTTTTCGCTCAAACGCACGAAGGTTGTTGTGTAATCTTTTTGGAGTAGAATACGTTTTGAGAAAAGGATATAATGTCATTCAGGCAGTAACTACAGAGTAATTATCGTTTCCGATAGTATCGAGTTCCACTTTTCCATGATTATCAGTTTGTAGAATATTTTGTTTCACCGGGGAGTCGAAAATCCTATCTTCCAATAGAGGCATATTATTTAAATATTTCAGAAATATCTCCATCGATTCTAGAATTCATTAATAGGACCGGTAAATATTTATTAATCCCATTACCTTAAAAACATTCTACTTTTCCACTGGTATGTTTTACTCTGGAATATAAATCTAAAGTCTGGGTCATCCTCTTCATATACAATATCTCGGAGCAATCCACAATCGTTTCCTTCACTTTATATGTACATCGTACAAATATGGTATTCCACACCAACCGCCAACCTTATTCACTAATTCACTATACACATAATACACATAATGGCTGTTGTAAATAATAATAATAATAATAATAATAATAACAATAATAATAATATAATAGCTATGTACATACACTAAATATGAACCCTGCTATTTGTTGAAATATAACTGATTTAAAATTATTGCATAGATTATTGGTCAATAGATATTATGTCATAGACTGTTTAGAATATTACTAAAACTTTTGCGCATTTTCTCGTCCCTCAATGTCGAACTAGGTCTACCAATACTTTTTTTCTTTTTGTATACAAATATTTAAATGTAATTATACTATGAATTCTCCTGTAAATAAAACTATGAGATTATTGCTATAATGACCCCAAATTGATATGTATAGTTTGAACTTCACTGAGTCTTTTTATAAATATGTTATTAGATTTTATGAGTGGATCATTTTTGATTATGATCATTTATCTTTATTTTGTTATTCATTATCTTTTTGTGCACTTTGTTATTTTATTTATACTTCAAACTGTTACTGGACATTAGCCCGTTTGAATAAATATAAATAAATATTTTTCAGGCTGAAACGGTGTTATTTACGATATCGACTCGAAATTTAAATACGAACCAAAAGGCGCCTCGATTCATGCTGATTTCATCGCAAATAAACAACGGCAGACGTGCTACGTAGGTACGTCAGCTGATCAAAAATATCTGCGCAATCTTCAGACTATTTTTTGTTTTGTTTCGGGTACTATGTTTTTTTGTGAGGTAAGGTTAGGTTAGGTAGTGTACCTTTTTTGGGACATTTATTGTTCATTTTGTTTCTTTTTTTTACCGAGGGATCCTGCAATTTACTGGAATATATTGATACTATATCATATGAACGTATTATACGCAAAACAAGAATATGTCTCGATGATTAATATTAATTCATTATAAAATTATTTTTTTTACTAACTTTTGAACGTCTAGGCTAAACATGTTTGCCATCGAAGCCCCGGTGAGCACAATGTTACCCAGTCCATACACCGCTGACAAATACAGAATCGTTCTGAAAGCAAAAAAAAAATTGTCAAATAAAATCAGTGTTATAACAATGCAAATCGGTGATTAAGGCGACTAAATTTAAAACCATTCGCCGTATGAAGCGTACTTGAATTTCCCCCAATAAGAGTCAGCAAGGATCGCACCAAGCAGAGGCATGAAGAACGCCAGAAATACGAAACTGTGATAAATTATCGTCGAATCGTCACCGTCAAACTTCAATATTGTTGTCAGGTACAAAACCAAGACGGCTGTGAAAACATCGTTATTGTATATTAGAATATTATCCGAAAATAGCGAATTATGACCGCAGTATAGCCATCACCAAGCCACTATTAAAGTTGCACGACTCACTTCTCATTCCGTAATAGGTAAATCTTTCGCATAATTCATTAAGCACGATAAACCATATGGACTTTGGGTATTTCTGAAAAAGAAAATAATATTATAAAAAAAATTAATAAATAAAATGAGCCAAGTGTGTGTGGGGAATTACATTTTTGCCACGTCTCCGCTCTTTATTTTAGTTCTAAGTGTACCACACATATATTATGTATAGAATCATACTATTATTTAGTATTTTATTTATACTTGGCCATGATGTTTCACTTTATTTGGAAATGTAATGTTATTTTCTTATGAAATACGTAGTATGAATCCTATAATCAACTTTCCGAGCACTTGAATATTTAAAATTTTACGCAATGTTTTAATTAAATTAAATTTTGTGGAAATTTACATAGGTACATAAGCAATTTATGCATTTTTGTTCAGAGAACTATAATCCAAAGGATGTATAGATAATATAATTTTAATTAATTATTACATAACAAATGAACTAATTCAATTAGTTAAAACGTTGGTGGGTAGGCGATTAGGTGTATTATACGTGTTCTTAAAAAATTATTAAAAAGGGCATTATTTCGTGTGTTATAAATGTTATAATATTATAAGTAGTTTGCAAAATTTGTATTTTGTAAACTAATAAATAGTTTGATTTCAGTTACCCCATGTCTCCCATCTGCATTTCATTCAGTTACAAGTTAACAATTAACACTGTAACTACTTGGGAAATTTAATTAGATTAAAAAATTTGTTTCGTGCATGCAAAGAAATGTTCAGGTTGTAAGACTATGTGATCTCATTTCAAAATTTAACGAGAAATGTACATTACCTTACTTCGCGAGATGAAATTAAAATGTTTTAATATTCAGTTACATAACAAAGCTAATTAGCGACTTGTTACACTAAATTAGGCTCTTCTTGTACTCATTTAAGACATTAGTATAAACACACGTGCACGTTGGTACATCCAGGTTTTCATGTGACGAGCATTATTGTTAATGTATACTCGTAATATAGTGTGTAAAATACAGCGTTATCACTTGTTTGAAAAGCAAAATTATTCCTATTACGAGAAAACCGTAAGGGATTAATGTAATGCATTATTATGGTGCGCAGACATGGCGTGACAGTATCGCAAGAAGGAGAAGCTCAGAAGATCACAAGTGGAATTATCGTTAAGACAAATAATTAATCAGTTTACGGAAATCGGTTGAGCACACCGTCATTATGAATATTATAATGTGGGAAAAGTCACTGCACATTATACATTTAATTCAAAAGTACTATAGTATGGGAAATAATAAAATGAGCTTGAAATTTCCAGGTAATAAATATGTACGAAAACCCGACACCAATCGAAACAGGCCCAACACAAGGGCCTACACTGGGCTCATACTGTATAATATGGTCGAAAACATTACTCAGAGTGATCCATACTATTATTTTTGCACTACCAATATATTTTTGATTTATACCCACGGGAATTACGGTAACCGCTGGTAAGTTAATGCGATAGAAATAGTTTCAAATTGGTTTGGGTACTCGCTTAGTATACTCATGCTACCTGGTACCTTTTAAAAAACAGTACGCGTGTATTTGTTTACACACAAAACACTGAGTGTTCTACAGTAGGTACCTACTAATTAATTGCGATTTATTAGACTGAAAGTCGCTTAATGTGCCTCTCTTGCTGCTCATTATCAAACATTTTAAAACGTTCTATATTTGCACACGTCGTGTCGTTTTAGGCGGTCGTCGCAGAAAAAATAATAGTTGTCGTTGGGGACATTTACTCGGTAAGTTTATCACTATGGGTATTAAAATATTGTACCTGTACCGCCGTTAACCGTTAACGTATTGTTCATCGTAAGTCTGCGCAGGATACTTTCCAGCAATAAAAATGAAATCAAAACGTAATATTAATGAGAATATGACGGGAACGTCATGTTTTCCGGTGGGCAACAATTTTCCGGTAGGTAGCATTATACCTACTACACCGACGGAGTGTGGCGGTACGTAACAATATACTACGCACGAGTATACCTTTATTTGTTCAAATGTCGTGTGTTTGAGTAGGTATGAATTCGTCTTGTGTTGAAAGTGTTGAAACTGCGAACAACGTAATATTTCGGAAGTACGACTACTACAGACATTATCATATTTTTACACTGCGCACACCTAATATAAAATATAGCTCACACATTTTCGGAGGATATTTTATATGTTTTATACGATTCCAGCGACGAATAAACTATAATGCTTAGCAACAAAATAAAGGGTTACAACTAAATGAAAAATAAAGGTATGTAAATGGTTAGGGAAATGAATGAACCAGAAAATCGCAGTGCAGAAAAACCTCTATATAACGGAATCGCTCGGTACCAACTGATTTTGTCGTTGTTAAGTATAGTTTCCGTTACAAGGAGACTGAATAGTATACGTGACTGTTTTTATTCTCCGCTGTTGGGAGATTTCCGTCTTATAGAGGTTCCGTTATGAAGAGGTTTTACTGTATATGATGAATACTATTAACAGGTAGCTGTAAAAAATTGGCACGAAAACTGTTTTTTTTTTTACCATCGAATCTATTGATAACAATGGCAAAATAAAACGATCTCGGTTCTTAGACTTAATATATTATTCGAGAATTTAAATTTCAACTCACCAATTTTTCTTTTTGATCAAACACCAAATCCATGTTGGGCTGAAAAATAATAAATTATTTAGATGCCCGCTATATAGGCAGGTATATTTTTAAATAATTATTATCGCTGAACCGAAAAGTTAAGGTGTCTGAGACCGAATGAGTGTGTTAAATCAACAATACCTACTTCTGCCTCGACCTCGAAAAATATATGTAATTTTTAACAATCACACGTTCTACCAACACATTTTCAGTGTATAAACCGGTTGTTTTACAAATGTTTCGAGTGGAGAAATCTTGTGACATATTATCATCAAGTCAAAAATATTCATCGCATTCACAAATAATTGTACGTTTATTTATTGTGTAGACCATAAGCTTTCGAAAGCTTTATCATTCGAATCGAGTGCTTATAATGTTTACTATTTATTTATGGTATAGCATACATCAATACTTGTGATGCATATAATTATAGAAATTAAGCGGCGGTGTTAATCTTTTCTTTATCACCTTGTATACACATGCAACAATAATATCTAACGATTAAAAAATATTCAAACATTAAAAAGAAAATAATCTATTGGGTGCCCACAAGATATATGGTCATATAGTGGTTATACGATATTTAATTTAATTAATATGATAATATGATGGGTAATTAATAACATTACGATTTATGAATACAATGCAAGCATAGGGAAAAATATTTTACTTATAGAAATATAAAACAGCTTAAACAGTTTAAACGATAGAAATTAACTATGCACATTGTAGTAGCTCATAAGAATAAAAAGTAAAGGTTAAAATAATTTAATAATTAAAATATGTTGTACCGAGAACCTAAGGATTGTTCACAGAACAGTGTTGACGTTAAAATAATTTTATGTCGCATATTTTATTCAAACTGAAACGAGGTCGTGGGTAACAATGTATTTATTTTAATTTATTGCAACTGAAATATCGTAACATTACATGCCCATGAGAACTTATCCAATAACGTTTTTCTCGACATGAAGTTAGTTATAGTTAAGTTAGTACCGGTAAAAATATCTCTTGAACAAATATCAAACGCTTTTTAATTTTGCTATCGTAAAATAAAACATGTTTTACCCTTGTTTGTTACCGAATATTCGCCAGCAATTATCAAACCACCAACATTTTTGTCATTTACTGGATTGGCTGGAGATCAACAAATTCTTTCTCTTCGAATTATTTTATACATTTTTTTCTATGTTCGGTAAATTGACCATTTATATAGGCGCAGGGAGAGTTTCCAAGCCATGACATAATACATTTCTGGGAAATAATACACTTGGAAATCACTCCAAACATCGATCTTATCATTATTATGTACAAAATATTGTTTTTACTTATAAATATTATAAGTATTATATATTATAACTTGTATTAATATAAAGTAAGTATTCAAATATGTACATAGATTTTATTTACATATATAGGTACTTGTAATAATAATATAAGTTGGAATCTTCGATAGTAAATACAATACAGAATAGTAACCAAATTATATCAACGCAAAGGATAATTTAAGCATTAACTGATTATTATTAATATGGTAGTATTTTTATAGGGTATGTTGAGGATACACCTACGTAGAAAAGGAAGAAAATTACCTATGTAAATGGATAGAAAAATTAAAACAAGGTTCCAAGTAAGTATAGTTGATTCTGAAACTCAAACAATCTAAAAATACATAAACACAATTTTGTTTGTAATTATTTTAAGTTTAAACTAGGACTTGTCTTTTTAAAGAAAAGCATGTAATTTAAGACAGCCACTTATTTAGTTAAAATTATTTAAGTTGAGAAATTTGAGAAACTTTATCGAGTCAAAAATGTCCGTGGCACACAACGTTTTATTGGATAGTTGACTTAATATTTCGAGTAAATTATATTAATATATTAATTATTAATATATTACTATATTTTATACGTTTTCATAAGTACCTACCTGTATGATTTCAGCCGAGTACATGAATATTTAAAATATAATATGAAACTCGTGTTTTAATATTTAATAATTTCGTTATGTAAAATGATAGTTTTTAGGCAGGTAGGTACTTGAAACAATTTTTTATTTAATATACATTATACTCGAGATTCATACCTAAGATACACTCGTATTAATATAATAATAGCTAACGAATTTAACACGTTATTATAAAAATTGTTTGATATTTTTACAGTTAATATAATATTAAATATTAATATATTTGACTTATATGATTGTGAACATTCGACAACATACGATTTAATTGATATAAATCATTAATACATTGTTTACAATCAGCGAATACAAAGTAGCAACTAAAATAATGTTATAATGAAAATAAATTATATTCTTGTACCAGTCCTACCAACATAATATTATGGCAAATGTTTCTTGTAGATTTCGTCATGCTGTCTATTAATTTCTGAATAATTTTGTGGTCCTATTAATTTTGGCTGGTACAAATGATAACTCAAAAAAATTACTTACATTTTATTGTACTATACAATTAATGTTAAAATGTTGAATTGTTGTTTTCAAATCTGTTGGTGTTAAAAAGCCTGCAAACAACTTTTTACTATCGAATTATATGATTATTTATTTCCGTAAATAAATTTCTATTTTGAAAATACTGCACTTAAAACAGGAAGTCACCATGTGGGGAGGGAGGGCAGTCTCATTTGATTATACGATTTTACCGTCTATCGGCTATGCCTCATACTGCAGTCATACGCGTACATGGTAAATCAGTATTCCCGCGATAAAAAATACCATGACATTTTAAAATGAATGATCAAACGTGGGAAAAATTCAAAATATAAATTAAGCTATTGGACTTGCATTTATGTTTGAATTATAACTGCATAATTATAAAATATAATGAAATATGCAGTGTAAAAATGTTTAACCGAACACGAATGTATCGCAAGTACAGCGGGTACATTTATTGTAACGAAAACAGTTTAATATCGATAAAATGTTTGCGGTTCTCAGGGTAACACTGATATGTTTATAGCTTGATTATTAATTCAATTTTAACTCGGAAATTTCTTATTTTGATGGGATATCATATCCACGATGCCCCGTCCCACTGTATTATTATCTTGAAGCTCAATCAATCGATTCCAACTACCGAACTGAAAAGTGAAAAGTTTAGGCGCTTGAGAAATGAATGCGTGTATTTGAATAACGCGAATAACTCGACTATTGCCCGACCACGAAAATATTTCGTCATTTTTAACAATCACTTATTCTGTCTGATGTTTCTGCCGTATGCATAATCAAACCATTTGCAGTTCAACACTTTTTCCGAGTCAATGAGACTTACGATGCGTTATCAAGTCAACAATGTTCAACACATATACGGCTACATTTGATAGGTGTCTATAACGCTTATTAGGAGATTAGTTTTCGTGAATAATTCAGCAGATATGATGTAATTCAAATTGATTGTAGGTAGTACCTAATAATATATTTATGAATGCTGAACGTTAGATGAGGAATCGTAAGGAATTCAACATTGTGCTGTATTATACGGGATGGTATTCGAAGTAATCTTTTTTTAGTAGCCGGTTTATACCTCCGCATGAAGCAGTATCTAACGTAAAAAAATTATTATTAGTTGTAGGCAATCTAACACAATACGTACCTATCATAAAATCATTTATAAAACACTTCGACGAGGAATACATTCCAACAATCCTGCAGTAGGTATTCCTCCATAGCCGCATAACTCATCAACTCAGCATATTATTCTGTTGTTTATCACAGCTCCCGAGATAACTTCGATTGCCACAAACACACATGTCTATGTATAGTTTAGCCGTTTAAAAGTGTGAAGCGATGAATATGGTTTTGTTGCTATTTTTTAGGATAGTTTACCATATTTCGTCTACAAAACCACAATGATATATTACATCGTAATCCCTGAATGAATTGACGCGGACTGATAAACTAAATTCGAGAACTCCATTGATAATTTTGAAATGTTGTTGTACACATTATATTAGACACGTGATAAAGCAAACGTTTTACAACATAAACGTTATACCGTTACACTTACAACACATATATTATAATAAGTGAAGCAATACCCAGTTGGCAATTCGTTTTGTTTGAGGGAGTATGTAAAAGTGATTCGTTTTTAAGATAAGATTTGAAAAATGTTTTTTTGAATTTCAAATGCCTCTTGAAAAGAAAACGTTTCACTGTTAGCGCAATAAATCGAAAACCTTTAGATACCTATTGCACTTATTAAATCTAAGTATTTGTAGTACAACGTCTTACCAAATTAAACTATTAAGTTTATTTGTAGCTATTTGTGTGTACAGTACTTACAGCAACAATAATACATTAATATATTATGTACTCAAAGTGTCTGAATGGATAATATACAACTAAATTAAAAACTCTCAAATCTTAAATATATCCATCAAATGTCTTAAACTCATATCACAGTTGCATTATATCAATTCATTTCTTGTGATATAATATTATGATCTATGATTTTGAGCGGAGCGATGCATGTATTGATATTACAATTACGTGTGTGTGGTCTTGTTGTAGGTCTATAATCACCTTTTTGGGACAGTAAACATGTTTCGATGTTCTTCAATAGCATATTTCTGGTAGGAGAGTGAATCTAAATTGGTGACATCCGTATTTACTTTTTTTTTTATACGAACCTTCACACAAATAAAAATTATTCCCGTTGTTTATAATAAAAACGTTAAAAACAATAATAATAATTATTTTTTATTAAACTAACTATCCGCGGCGTGCCAGCTCCTGTAAAGGCCATTGGACGTAACAGTACATTATATATATATATATATATATATATAATATGTATATATTTACACATTACATGCATTTTTAAACGATGATATACAAAATAACATACTTAGGAATAAAAGGAAAATAATAATTAATAAGAGAGAGTTATAAAAACAAAGAGGTTAAGTATTAACTATTGTTGTCAGTTTTATTGAATAACAAAACAACGTCCTAGGACATTTATGTGTCGTCCTCTTTGCTCTAGTTAAGTGCCGTTGCGTCAGTCGTGTTCGCATTTTTACTCCGATAAACCACGCTGAAATAAGCTAATAACAACGTGTCGGCAAGCATGAAACCACAGTATAGAAGATATATTCGTGTACCTAA